TCACATAAAAGATGAACTTGCAAGTAAAAATAGTGCTAAAATCTCTTCGGACACAAAGAACTCACTGTAGGAATAAGAGGCAGAGAAAGCAGAAACTGGAGGTAGACTCTGCTTATTCGGGGCATTCAAGTTGGTCTATAGAAAACATAATAAAATGGTGGTAACACACAGGAGGATTATTCATTTGGTTATGTGTAACCCGATGATAATTTACTGACAGGAAACCAGTGCTGGTTGAAGCCATAAGATGGTATGAGATGATGAGACAGAGTCTCAAAGAAGAGAACAGCGCATGTTATCCCACAAGAGACAGGAGATGTGTGTCATTTGTGAAGGTAAATCTACAAAGTCCTCAAAAATAGGCTAACGGCACATATTGTGAGAATCTTCTCACATGATGACCTCGTGTTTTATTGCAAAGTTAGCCTAGTTGTGACTTTAAAGGCCCCCGTGGGCATGACTAATCCTTTAAAGAATGAAAATGCTGCTAGTTTCTAGCCCTTCACCTGCCTTAGCTCACCATGGACCAGGTGACATCGGCTCCGCCCACCTCTGAGTAAGTTAGGGGAGGCTACTGACTTTACGTATTCCTCTGGTCATGAATTATCTTGACTTTATAGCCATGCCTCTAAAAAATGCCATAGCTGCATTTATGTTAACTCCCAATTCTCCTTTCTCTCTAGTGATGTTACATCATATTTTTCTATATTTTGTTCCAAGTGGTATTTATTAACTCTATTTCTCACATTTACACTTTGAGGTTCAAAGCCAGGCTGATACCTTCTTCCCTAAGTTATTACTACAGGCATTCATAGGGAATAGAACACTTTGTGATTCTCCAACAATTACAGGCCATGTCTGTAAATTCCCCTTTGTTAGGAACCTCTTACTTTCAAATATTTTTCTTGAACATCCTTGGGATTCAGATCACACATCTGTCAGCGTAGTGGTCTCTATATATTTCTACTTCCACACTTTCTGGAAGTTGAGTGATAAAGAAAAGGAAGTTAAAAGAAGCCACTCACTTGGTATAGGAATGCCTTCTGTTTGTGAGTTGCACGCCTTTAATCCCAGCACTCGGGAGGCAGAGGCAGGCGGATCTCTGTGAGTTCGAGGCCAGGTCTACAAGAGCTAGTCCCAGGACCGACTCTAAAACTACAGCAAAAAAAAAAAACAATTATCACATGTACTCACTCACAGGTGGCTTTTAAACATAAAGCCAAGAAAGCCAGCCTATAAACCACAATCCCAGAGAACTCACACAACAATGCGGACACTAAGAGAGACTTACATAGATCTAATCTACATGGGAAGTAGAAAGTAGAAAAAGACAAGATCTCCTGAGTAAATTGGGAGCCTGGGGACCTTGGGGGGGAATGAAATGGGGAGGGGAGAGTCAGGGAGGGGAGGAAAGAAAAATGTAGAGTTCAATAAAAGTCAATTAAAAATGTAAAAAAAATAAAAGAAAATACTATCAGAGGCTGAAGAAAGTCATGTTTTTCATTTATTATGAGCAATCTGAGTATTCACTATTTCCCCGAGAGAAATGCAAAGTGAGCAATGTTTAGCTGCAGGCTGCAGCATGAGAGGGCAGCCCTAGTCTGGACTGCCAAATCTGACCAAGATACTGTTGGAGGGCTTAGCTTGCCAGGACACCACAGGTAAGTCATTTAGATACAGGCTAGGCAAAGGCATTCACCAGTTATGCAAGATACTAGTCATTTTTAATCTGCTAGTCTGAAGAATGCTTAATAATTCCATGTATTAGTATCACTATGCAGAATTTCGTTTAAGATGTTGTTATACTTACCTTGTCTTGGAAAAAACTAAGGATATTGAGAAATACAAGTCTTCCATCATTTGAAGACCTTTCCTATTTTGTTATAGGAAATTCAACTTTAGATAACAGAATCAGAGCTTAAGTTCCAAGATTAGATTTGGTGGCCAGTGCATGCTTTTACTGAGTCTCTGATTTAAAGGATTATTCTGGCTGGTTTGGGGACTAGTCTGAGAAGTGAGGAGAAGCCCAGAGAGACCAGTCAGGAGGTTACTTTAGTACTCCAGTGGCAGAACAGGGCAATGAGTCTTGTCCATTTGAAAGTACCAATAAAGCAATGTCTTAGACAGCGGCTTGCAGTTTAGACTATCCTTGCATCCCCGGTCTCCTGAATAGGTTCTCCATTCATGCCGATTTGCAATGAAAACTGCTGCCGAATTAAGATAGGATTCCTATCTTCAGGCTGTAGAGCGTGACATAACTGGAACATTATAATTTTTAAAGTTACTTCACTCCAGGCTGGGGATGTAGCTCAGATGGTCAGTGTATGTCTAATATTCACAAAGCCATAGCTACCCAGGTTCAAGCCCCAGGATGGCAGGAATTAGGTGAGGCGGTACACACTTGTTATCGCAGCATTAGTAAGGATCAGCAAATTCTCAGAAACAAAAAACCAAAACAACAAAAGTCCTCCAAACAAAAAAGCCTACTTCATAATTATTTTAGTGTGTATTTTGGACATAATCACAATACCATAATAACAACCAAATTACCGATTCCTTAGTGGCATCAAATAGTAGGAGTTCAGGTTTCTATCCCTCTTCACAACCATGCTTTAATCTATGTTAAAACCTTCTCTGAATAAATCCTAATTTTGCTTCATTAAAAAATATATAAAGGAGTAGGGCAATGGTGGTGCATGCCTTTAATCCCAGCACTCGGGAGGCAGAGGCAGGCAGATCCCTGTGAGTTCAAAGCCAGCCTGGTCTACAGAGCAAGTTCCAGGACAGGCTCCAAGACAGGCTCCAAAGCTACGAGAAACCCTGTCTCAAATAAATAAATAAATAAATAAACAAACAAATACTAAACAAAAACAAACAAACAAACAAAACACCCATAAAGGTAAGAAAGTGAACTATAAAGTTTTGTTAATTTTTTTTGGAGACAGCATCTTGCTGGGTAGCTCAGAGCAGCCTGGGACTCAACATTTGTGATCCTTCTGTCTTGGCATCTCAACTCCTGGGTTTGCCTCTCAGCACTGCAAACTGTACATTCATACTTACTTGAGACTAAACCCTGTTTTTGTGCGCACATTCATGTCTGTCACCGTGCGCTCAGGAGCACACGGAAACCAGAGGTAGGCACTGGCACCTTCACTGTATCTGAAGCTCACCAATTTGACTAGATAGGCTGACCAGCAATTCCCAAGAATTTTCCTATCTCTGCCTCCCTAACATAAGAATTATAGATGTGTGCCTGGCTTTTTACATGGAGGCTGGAAAATCTGAATTCAAGTCCTCATGCTCTTATGGCAAGCACTTTGCAACAGAGTCATTTCCCAAACTCCATTTAAAACATTTTGCTTTTTTTTGAGACAGGGTCTCTATATGTAACTCTGACTGTGCTGGAACTGGAACTTGGTAATGTAGACTGCAGGCCTCTACTCAGAGATATCCACCTGTCTCTGCTACACAAATGCCGAAATTAAAGGTGTGTGCCACCATACTGGGCCTTACAAAATTTTTATTTTTATTTTCTTTATGTGGATGTGTGTTTTTGCCTTAAGGTCTGTACACCTTGTCAGCAGGCTGATGGGATCCCCTGGGCACTGAAGTTACAGATAGTTGTAAGCCACCATGTGAGTGCTGGGACTCAAAACTGGATCTTCTAGAAGAGCAGCCATTGCTCTTAACCTGAGCCACCTCTCCAGCACCTTTTATGTCAATTAAGTTGTTTTACAAACATCTGAGAAAAATATTACAGTACATTATATCATTACAATATCAACTGTATTATGGATCTTCCCTGCCCCCTCCCCATACTATGGTTTCTTCAATTCAAGAAATTTTGCCAGGCAGTGGTGGCACACTCCTTTAATTCCAGCACTCGGGAGGCAGAAGCAGGCGGATCTCTGTGAGTTCAAGGCCAGCCTGATCTACAGAGCAAGTTCCAGGACAGGATCCAAAGCTACAGAGAAACCCTGTCTCAAAAAACCAAAAAAAAAAAAAAAAAAAAAAAAGGAAGAAAGAAAAAAGTTTCCTAGATTCTCTTGTTCCCAAACAACCTTTCTGATTTCACTGCAACTTGAAAGGACAAATGAGAGCTGAATGTGGCAATCACAGGGTCAGAGAAAGTAGTAAGCTAAAAGCTACCAAAAGCCAGGAGGAGTCCTCGCGCAGTCTTTACCAATCAACATAATTATATTTATGCAATCACATTTACACTGGAGTCACATTTACAAGTTTTGACCAAACCTTCCTGGCAAAGCCTGCTTGCCTGACATCCCATCCCACCCCAGAAGCCACTCAAGGATTTCCACTGATCAGCCTGCTTGCCTGACATCCCATCCCACCCCAGAAGCCACTCAAGGATTTCCATTGATCAGCCTGCTTGCTCCCTATTTTTAATCTCTGTATGTGAGGACTATAGTCATAGGTAAGCCAGGGCACATGAATGGAAGTCAGAAGACAAACCTTGACAGGGTCTCTCGTCTGCAGCTGCATCTAAGAGGCTAGCTGGCCCTCCCTTTCGCCTCCCACCTCACTGAAGGGTGTTCAGATTTATGTGGGTTCTGGGGTTGAACTCAGATTCTCACTCTTGCATGGGGACTTCTATCCACTGAGCCATTTTTCTCTTCCGTGCAACTACAGAGATTTCCAGCTTGACGAACTACCCTTGAACTTCACGAACAGAAACATTTGTTCAAGGCAGATAGAGATTCAAAGCTTGTTAAACTGAGGCCAGAGGACTGTTGAATCCAGCCTAAGTAACACAAAAAAAAACTACAAAACTGAATCTTTCTCCCTCCTAGGCAACTCTTTCTTCTAGCTCTCAAACAAATCAGCACTTACTGACCACACTGTACAAAATTAGCTTTTCTCTTTACATTAGAATTTAGGTTAACTTACCTTAAGCTTTTGTGAGTTGCACAGTTTGAATGTCTACATTAAGTTAAGAATATTTCCCCTCTGTTACTTGGTATTCATATGAATCCACATTTAGTTGAAATTAAGTTTATTTTTACATCCTGAGGCATTAATAGGAAATATAAATACAAAACCAACAGGGTAACAATAGTGGTAACATGATAATGAATATATCTACACATAATATACAAGGAAAATGAATAGATGTTAAAAGAGACTTGAGATAAAATACAAATAAGGATTTTGATCAGTTATCTGGGTGATGGTCAAAATCTCAACACCACTTTTGCACGGTACATTTGTAAAAGCTGTAGACTTTCTCAAAATAATGATCTGCTGTTTTTAATAGTTTTTTTTTTTTTTCTGGGTGTAGGGTTAAGGATTCTGTTTTTTATGGACATCTATTTTACTATCTAACAGGTGAAGCCTTATATTGAACATGTGATGAACAGAAGGTTCACTGAACTCCATGACACAGAATGCAACAGAATGGACACACTGGTGCACACGTTTCAAAGGATTTAAACATAAGCCAGAGTACTTACAGTAACAAAGTAAGCAAGAACAGCTTGAGGTAGTTGTTACTATTCTACTTTAAGTAAACTAGTCTCTAATTTTATGACTAGCCCTAGGTAGGTTAAATATATCATATATTCCATTACAAACCTCTAAACTTCAGCCGGATGTGATGGCACATGTCTGTGATTCCTGCACTCGGGAGGCCTGGGCTACATAGTAAGTTCAAGTTCTACCTTGGCATATATAAGAAGTATAGAAACAAAAATTTCTAAATTTGATTGCATTATGCCTTTTCTTCCCCCTCTCATCGTTCTTCATCCTCAGCATTTGTCTCCCAGGCACCCCTGAGAAGACAAGCAGGTCCAGTGATCTGCTAAGGGGATATAAGAGACCTGGTGTCACCACACTCCAGCCGTGAACTAGTAGAGCAATTGAACTGTGACACTGTGAAATGCTGTCTACCACCAAAATTGTTATGGATGTGGTGCTCCAGGAGTTTTTCAGGGACCAGGAGCAAAGGTTCTTTCTGCTTGGTATATACCAGCATCCTAGACTCTCAGAAGGAAAGCAGGTGTCCCACAGAAGCCTCCCTGCACAGCCTGGTCACACAGCCCGTCTCCTTGGTGTGCCAGCCATGGAACTACCACTTCATTAGGACTTCAGGGGCAACAGGCCCGCTGTGTGACCATTCCGCAATCTCAACAGGGATAGTCACCACAAAAACCTTCAGACGCGGGATATTCCAATTCAGAAATGTTTTTAAAAGACACGACACAGAATCATAATACAGATTCTGTCTGATGAGTGTCTAATTCACTGATAGTAGGTTAACACACATATATTTAATCTTTTGTAGCTTTATCAAAGAGAGGAACATATGAAAAAGTGGTATGTGAATCCCAGGGATTGAAGCAAGAGCTTTTCCTGCTGACATCTCCCTGGCCCCGGCACTCCAATAGAAGAGGGCTTTTTCAGAGTTGCTAACAACAAAATCTACCAAATCTCCCTGTCATAGATCACCTGGAAACGGACTTCTTTGATTTCACGTAATTAAGCAAAAGTAAATATGGCAATCACTTGGCATTAACAGTTTGGGCATGCACTTTAGAAACAAAAGGTAAAGGAGGTACTCTATCAAGTTTGTGAAGATAATAATTTTCCTCAGCAAGGATTTTGGGAACACACAAAGAAATTTCCTTCTGTTGTTCTCGCCACCTGAGTATATTCTCTGTCAGTTCTTCTGTCTCGTTCACCAAATTGTCCATCTTGGATAAAGCCTTTCTCTGTTACATTTGAAATAAAGAAAAATAGAAAAAAAAATCAGTTACCGATTACCATTATGTCAGAAATAGATACATCAAAAATTAACATCTGATCTTTTCTAGTCCCTTACTGCAAAAATTCCTTAAAAACCGTGTCTCCACCCCCAATCCAACCACACACTATCTATCTGTGAGATCACACTATCTGTCTATCTGTGAGCTCACTTCTCCTTTAACATCAACTTCAAACGCGACACAAATAACCTCAAGCTTCCTCACTATATCTGGCTGGTCTGGAATTCACAGGCATTCCTAGCGCTGTGATTACAGGCATATGTGTGTCACCAAAGTTGTCTTAAATGCTTCTAAAGGTGTAGGGTGATTAAAGTCTGAGATTCTGCAATTTTCTTTTCTTCTGGTGCTTAGAATGCAGCAAAGGGCTTTCACAGCAGGAAAGCACTACAGCAATTCCTAATAATTTTATTTTATATTTAGACAAATTCAATCCTATAAAGTAAAAAGTATGTATTTTGTGAGGTGTGGCGGTATGTGTCTAAAATCCTAGCACTTGGAAGGCAGAGGCAAAAAGACAGTGAGTTTGAAGCCAGCCTGGGCTACACAACAAGATCACGGGGGTGGAGGAGGAGGAAGCAGATGGAAAGGGAGTAGAAAAATGAAAATGATGTTACAGTAATCTTTTTAAAAAATGTTTCTTTTTGTTTTGAGACAGAATCTCACTTTGTAGCTTAAGCTAGTCTGGCACTTACTACATTGTGGAGGCCAGTCCCAAACTCCACAACAATCTTCTTCAGGCGCCCAAATACTAGAAGGTGTAGGGTACCATGCTTGGTTAAGAAAATGTATCTGTTTTATGATTTTAATAATGACTAACTCAATGTGAAATTAGTTGAGCTCAGAAAGACAAACACCGTAAGTCTTGTCTCATATATGTAGCCTATATCTTTTTTTTTTTTTTTGGTTTTTCGAGACAGGGTTTCTCTGTGGCTTTGGAACCTGTCCTGGAACTAGCTCTTGTAGACCAGGCTGGTCTCGAACTCACAGAGATCCGCCTGCCTCTGCCTCCCGAGTGCTGGGATTAAAGGCGTGCGCCACCACCGCCCGGCTGTAGCCTATATCTTAACTGTATGTCTGTGTTATGAATGTAAGAGAAACAGTGAAAGGAGAGACCTAGCGGGATGTGAGAGAGGGTAAAAAGAATACATGTGACATGCAAATAAAAGGAGACACTATCCAGAGGAAGCAAGAGGGACATGAGGAACTGGATGGAGAAGGAGAGGACAGCAGAACAAAGGGAATAACACATCCACGAGAATGTCATGATGAAATACATAGCACGATAATAAAAACCCAGAGACAGTATTGGGGTTCAAGCTGGAAGATCAGAAAAGCAAAGCAGCCAAGCCACTAGAAAAGTCCTACCTCTATCAAGGCCGGGCGACTGCAGACTGAGCCCTGAGCCTCTGTCCCCTGTACTGCTGGGATAAAAGGCGTGTAACTCCCTAGTGCTGGGATTAAAGGTGTGAGCCACCACCACCGGGAACTATTTCTGCATAGATTTTATGTAGCCCAGGGGGGCCTTGAACTCACAGGGATCCATCTGCCTCTGTCTTCCAAATCCTGGGATTAAAGGTGTGTGACACCACTGTCTGGTTTCTAGGCAAGCTTTATTGACTAAAACATAAATAATAAAATATCACTATAGATATACATTGCTTTGTTTGTTAATTTAGGCGTCTAAGACCAGCCTTAGCTACATGAGACTATGGGAAAAATAAAACATAAACCAAAAAAATTAACTGGGACAGTGACACAGTTGAGATTCTAGTGTAAGAATTAAGAGCAGCTATATTAGTAATACTCACCATTTCCGCTAGGTTTGCATTTAAATGAGGGGTATTTCTAACTGTTTCAAGATGGGCTTCTAATTTCTCAACGAAAGTCACAGCCAATTCCAACAAATGTACCATATGTCTGAAAGAGAGTGCAGAGTGAATGTAAATTTACCCCACAGGCTCCCATGTTTGGACACTTGGTCCCTATTGGGTGGTACTGTTTGGGGATTCATTGGAGCTTTGGGGCACAGGGACTAGCTGGGAGAGATGTAGATCACTGGGGGCAGTCCTTGAAGCTGCTCTCCAAATCCTGATCCGTTAAGATGTCAACAAGCCATGCCACAATCCTGCCACTGCAGATGGAGTTGCCCTAGCTGTGTGTGTTACAGTTCTGCAGATGAAGGCTTCCTCGCTGCAAGCATTACAGCTCTTCTGGGGGCTGGGCTGAGGTGTTTTCACAGTGTGTTACAGCACTGTTCCCGGAGGGGTAGGGGTGGGGGGTATTTCCCCAACGAAACTGTTACAGGGAAAGGTATCCCGGCAGTCAGGAGTCCAGATATACCACTACATTGCATCCCACAAGAAACCTCACATAAGAGATTTCTAGGGAAAATCCAGGAGGATGGCTGCCTCTACTAGGGTGAGGAGTAAGAAGCAGCAGAGAACTGAGCAGAAGACAGGGTTTATAGAGCATTTCTTGGGGGCGATGCTTTCTAGGGTTAGGGATTGGTGGGTTTTCAAGTCCAGGGCATTACAGTGCTCTGTGAGTGGAACCTGGTGGTTGGAAGACCTCAGAGACAGGGACCCCTCCTTGAACACCTCGAGGGGTTTACACCAGTCACAATGCCTTCCCTACAATGCGGGATTGTACTGCCTCTAAACTGTGAGCCAAAACAAGCCTCTCCCCACCCAAGTTCTTCTGCTAGGTATTCTGTGACAGTGGTTAGAAAAGAAAAGCAACACAAGGAGAAAAAAAAAATGAACTTTTCTTCCTCCTCCTCCTCTTAAATATTTACTTTGCCTGTGGGTGTTTTGCCTGCATTTCTGTGCACCACATGCATGCAGTGCCCACGGAGGCCAGAAGAGGGCACTGGATCCTCTGGAACTAGAGTTATAAGATTGTGAGCTGCCATGTGGGTGCTAGAAAAGTAGCCTGTGATCTTAACCTCTGAGCCATCTCTCCAGCCCTTTAACTTTTCTTCTTTAGCTGTTTTGTTTCTTTCCCTTTAATCAGGACTGTTAATTTTTATAAGCAAATCTAAGGAGCATCATTAACACTTTAATGGAATTATTAATGGTGAGAAGGTTCTCTTTCACGGAAGGCAAAATTTAGAATTGTCATCCAAACAGAAAAATAGAACGAGCCAGGCTTCATGGTGCCAGCCTTTAACTCTAGTGCTCAGTGATCAGGAAGCAGAGGCAGGTGGATCTGTGAGTTCTAGGCCAGCCTAGTCTGCATATCAAATTCTAGAACAGCCAGGGCTACATAGAAAAATCCTGCCTCAAAAGACCCCCCCAAAAAAAAATTAAAATGGAAAGACACATTATTCATGATAACTGAATTCTAACGGCTAGAAAACACTCAGTGGAAATGGGTGTGGTGATACGTGTCATTATTCCCAGCACTTGGGAGGCAGAGGCAGGCGGATCTCTGTAAGTTTGAGGCCAGCCTGGTCTACAAGAGCTAGTTCCAGGACAGTTCCAAAGCTATTGAGAAACCCAGTCTCAAAAAACAAAAACAAGGGGCTGGAGAGATGGCTCAGAGGTTAAGAGCACACTGACTGCTCTTCCAGAGGTCCTGAGTTCAATTCCCAGCAACCACATGGTGGCTCACAGCCATCTGTAGTGAGATCTGGTGCCCTCTTCTGGCCAGCAAGCATACAGACAGACAGAACACTGTATACATAATAAATAAATCTAAAAAACAAACAAAGAAACTCTCAGCTGTTGGTAATAACCATCTCATATGAAGACACTTCCCTAGACAAAGCCTCATATTGGTTCAGAGAACAGAGAAGACAACAAAGAAAAATACTACACTGCAAAATACCACACATTTTTTGAATCTGCATTATAAAATCTTCAAAATCACTGCTCAGTTCATCTTTTTGTTGTTGCTGGCTTTTGTTTTGTTTTTAAATCACTTGCCTGACACTCTGAGACACATGGTTAGTGAGGTAAGAACATAGTCCATTTTTTCATCCTCAACTACACAGTAAGATTGAGGTCAGCCTATATAAGATCCTGTCTCAAAAAAAAAAATCACATCGTTTCCAGTTTTTGTTCCCTCCCCTGATCTGTCTTTTTGAGACAGGGTCTCCTTATGTAGGCCTGATACTGAAACTCACAACGTAGACCAGGCTGGCTTCAAACCCAGAGATCCACCTGCCTCTGCCTCCTCAGTGCTAACATTAAAGACATGCATCACCATGCCTAGCTTCAGTTTTTGCGTCTTTTAATATTTTATCTTTGTTAAATATCAACAGAATTTTATATATAGGCAATAATCAATGTATTTCATAAAAAACAGTCTATACATAATAAAGCAGATTTTAATCATTGTGCTGCATGTTAGGAATCTAATACTTTTCATCAAAGCCATAATTTATAAGTCCTAAGATACAAGTGGCAAAACAAAGTCCTTTCTTTTTCCAGTTATAATTAGTTATTTAAAAACAAAGGATACTTTCCAGTTTAATGTATCAACAGTAGTACTGTTAATAAATACAATCAATAAAATATTGTTTTGTGAATTATGTTACAACATAACTGCCAGTCTAAACAAAAGCTACCTTAAAAAGGCATGCATAATTCTCCATTTCTGCCTCGTGATCTAACCTGTGATAAACAGCTTCCATTGGCAAGTTCTCCTGGCAGATGGGTCTCAGAAGTCTTTGCCTGATGGCCCGCTTCTCTTTTAGCACGGCTTCCAGATGACTATTCATGCTTTGCAGGATATCACACTTCTTAACTACATAAACCAGAGATGGCAGCCACAGTTAGCAACAACACAAGCATGCTTTAGAATTGTTAAGAATTTCTTTCTTGGGGACTGCAGAGATGACTCAATGGGTAAGGTCACTTGCTGGTCTTTTAGAGGACCCACATTGGCAGCTCACAATCATCTGTAATCCCATTTCCAGGGGAGCCTATGTCTACTTCTGGCCTCTGTGGGCACTGCACACACGTAGTGCCCAGGCACACACCCACACACATATATAGTAAAAATACCGAAGCCAGCATTAATCTAAGGCTGCATATAGTGGCTCAGACTGTAGTCTTGGCATTCCTCAGGCTGAGGCGAGAGCATCACTTAAGTTAGGAGTTAGACCTGTCTAAGCAAGAGATCCCGATCTCAAAAGAAGACAACAAACAAATAAATCAACTTCACAATCTCTGTAAACATCTTCGTTACTTTGTTTTCTTTAGTAACATCAACTTTATATTATATGCCTATTTTCTCTTAGGTTTCCTACTAACAATAAACTCTAGTACTAAATGCTTTCCTGTATTTTCCAAATCTAGTTTTTATTCTGCATTAAATCCAGGGCCTATTCTCATATAATAATCATAAATTTTAAAATTAAATTTCCTCCCTCCCCATCCACACACCCTTTTTGTTTTCAAAAGGACATATTCGAAAGTAGATTATAGACTGCATGACCTTTTATTCCTTTTTTTAAAAATAACTTATTTAATTTTATTTTATGTGCATTGGTATAATGGTGTCAGATTCTCTGGAACTGGAGTTACAGGCAGTTGTGAGCTACCATGTGGGTGCTGGGAATTAAACCTGGGGCCTCTAGAAGAGCAGTCAGTGCTCTTAACCACTCACCAGCCCAACTTTTTATTCTTTAAAACAAACAAAACAAAACAAAACACCAAACAGCTGGGCAGGGGTGGTGCACGCCTTTAATCCCAGCACTCAGGAGGCAGAGGCTGGCAAATCTCTGTGAGTTCGAGGTCAGCCTGGTCACATGGAGCAAGTTCCAAGGCAGGCTCCAAAGCTACAGAGAAACCTTGTCTTGAAAAACAAAATTAAATTGGCGGTGGTGGCACACGCCTTTAATCCCAGCACTTGGGAGGCAGAGGCAGGCGAATCTCTGTGAGTTCGAGACCAGCCTGGTCTACAAGAGCTAGTTCCAGGACAGGCTCCAAAGCCACAGAGAAACCCTGTCTCGAAAAAACAAAAAAACAAACAAACAAACAAAAACTAAACAAAAAAAATTACATTTAGTGTACGTGTGTGTATGTGTGTGTGTGCGCAGGAGAGCCTACATGTGTGCCAAGGTCATGTGTGAAGGTCAGAAGATAATTTTCAATTTTCACGAGTTGGTTCTCTACTTCATGTGAGTCTTAGGGACTAAACTAAGGCATCAGGCTTGATGGCAAATGCCTTTACCTGCTGAGTCATCCAGAATATCATGATCTTTTATTCTTTTTTTGTTTTGTTTTTGAGACAGGGTTTTTCTGTGTAGCCCTGGCTATCCTGAAACTAGTTCTGTAGAAAAGGATAGTCTCAAACCCAGAGATCCACCTGCCTCTGCCTACCAAGTGCTGGACATGGCAGCACATGAGTTTAATCCCAGGATTTGGTGGTAGAGGCAGGTGAATCTGAGAGGTTTAAGGCCAGCCTGGTCTACACAGTGAGTTCCAGGCCAGCCAGCACTTCATAGTGAGACCCTGTGTCAAAACTATACAAAATATAACAAAACCAAAAACCCTTCCTGCTTCAGAATGCTATTATTTTACTACTTTTTTAAAAAAATTTATTTTTATGTCTATGAGTGTTTGGCCTGCATGTATGTGTATATACTATGTGTGTGCCTAGTGCCCATAGGCATGGATTCCTCAAGGTTAGAGTTACAGACAGTTGTGAGCTGCCATGTTGGTGCTGGCAACTGACCTGGGTCCCCTAGAGGAGCAGCCAGTGCTCTTAACCAAAGAGCCATCTCTAGTTCTTAAACTTTGCTTGCTTACCCTTTAAAAAAACATAAACAAAATCTTAGTTATGCCTGGTTTCTGATTACTGGTAATTCTTCTCGGGATGGGCGTTACAAGAGTGAGACTGAGTCCTACACCTAAGTCACTCTGGATTCCTGTCTTCAGTGTGACGTCTGTCCACCAAGAGCTCCAGAACTGGAATGGCATCCACCCTGTGGCCTTACCCTAGTTGAGCTGTGTGCCTTGAAACCTCCAGAACTGTAAGCAAGCTAAACCTTTTTCCTCGTATACTACCCAGCCTTGGATATTTTCTTGTGGCATCAGAAAGGGAGATTAATAGAGGAGCCAACCTGGTCACTTTCTATACGCTATTTTCACTAGTCAAGTAAAGTGGACTTGTTCCAAGCTAGCCAAGGCTATATAGTAAGAAAACAAAACAAACAAAAAACCCTGAAAACATGTTAGTTTTGGGACAATACCTAGGAAAGGTTATGACATTATAATTCTGCCACCTGGTGTTTATATACAGTAATTCAAGATCAAGCTGAAATCCTAATGGTTACTCTCTTAAGCAAGCAACTTACCCAAATAGGAAGGATGAATGAGATCTGCTGTATCTCTTTCTAATTTCAGAAGTTCAATCTCCAGGTTGTTCTACATGAGGAACAAAAGGAAAGTTTAACTCACTCAGAAAGTGTCCTAAAGTTTTTAAAGGCTTAATTAACAGACTGATAAAATGGACATGCTATAGAAGCACAGTATAAGACATATATATACCCGTTCCTTAAATGGGATGGAAGGATGGTTTATATAAAAGCCAAAGTAAGTCACTGGAGCCTTTCATTTTGGTGTCTTGCCTTCCTCTTATTACAGTTAACTACTACAAAAAGCAATGCACTAAGCACTGTTTTTTTTTTTTTTAAGATTTATTTATTTATTATGTATACAGTGTTCTGTCTGCATGTATGCCTGCAGGCCAGAAGAGGGCTCCAGATCTCATTACAGATGGTTGTGAGCCACCATGTGGTTGCTGGGAATTGAACTCAGGACTCTGGAAGAGCAGTCAGTGTGCTCTTAACCTCTGAGCCACCTCTCCAGCCCCCCAGGCACTGTTTTAATTGCAAAAGAATGCTATTCCAACAATTAAGAGGACTTTTTTAGAGTTTGTTTTAGAGTTAGGTATCAACCCATGACATCTTGTATGTTAGGTACCCACATCTCCTCTGAACTACACCCCAGCTACTACACTTGTATGTTAGGTACCCACACCTCCTCTGAACTACACCCCACCATACTACACTCTTTTTAAATGGAGAAGAAGTGAAAAGCTCATGATTCACCTGGTAGATTTTAGCTTTCATGTCTGAGATCTGCTGTGATCTGGAGAAGTTCTCAAAGCAAGGAGCCATTTTCTTAGATGTACCTAACATCTCCTATTGGAAAATGAACAAGGAAAGCACAGTAAGCTACAAAAAGCATGCACACTAAAATATCATACACAAAGGACTAAAAATAACATTATGTCACCAGCCCTCCAGAGGCAGGAGGATCTCTGATAGAAGTCACCCGGTGTTGCAGGAGGAGGGCCGCTTGTTCGACCCAGCGGCCCGGCTAGCGTAGCCCCGAAATAACCATACAAAAACTGTATTAATTAAATCACTGCTTGAGCCATTAGCTCTAACTTCTTATTGGCTAACTCTTACATTAATTTAACCCATTTCTATTAATCTGTGTATTGCCACGAGGCTGAGGCTTACCGGGTAAAATCCCAAGCATCTGTATCGGGGAATCCATGGCTTCTCACTGACTCTGTCTCCTTTCTCCCAGCATGCCATTTAGTCCCCCCCCCCACACACACACAACACCACCTCTGGCCTACCTAAGTTTTGCCCTATCAACAGGCCAAGGCAGTTTCTGTATTCATTAACCAATGAAAGCAACACATAGATAGACGGACCTCCTAAACCAAGCCTGGTCTACAGAGAGAGTTCCAGGACAGTCAGGGCCACACAGAGAAATCCTGTCTCAAAAAAATAAAACAAAATAGGATAAAATAAAAGTTACATGTCCAAAACTACACCTAAAACAAAGAACATATCAAAACTATAGCAATGCATATTTTCTGCTTCTATTTTACTTTGATAAGGACAAATGCAGCCCAAATTAGCCTTGAGCTTGCTATAGCCAAAGGATGACGTTGAACTTCTGACATTCCTGATTCCACTTCTCAAGTGTACAGCATAACACCAGGCTTTTGTGTATATGTGCACACACTGAACCGCATGTTTTGTGTATACATGCTCATGTACATTTGTATATGTGCGCATTTATGTGGTGGCCAGAAGTCAACCTCTGGTGTCTTCCTCTATTATTTCCCCATCATTTAGAGGCAGCTAAATTAGGAGATAGTTAGCCTAGGACTCTACTTGGTTTTTGTTATGAACAATTTCCACTTGTAACAACGTACTTGGCACACTAGGTCTTTTCCTAGCACATACGGAGTACATGTACTTTCTCTTCAAACAATGCACATAGCAACCTTAGAATCCTCTAAAACCCCTCAGTTGCATTGCGCTACATGTACCCCCATGACTGACTAATATAGTTTCTCTGCCTATAGCAACAAGCAAACTTAGACCATTTCTATACAAGTATATTCCTAAAGGGTAGGAAGAACATTTTGGCCTGAACTGCATGTGCAGAAAGGCAGGCAACTGAGTCCTCTGGTAAACTTTTAGGGGAGAGCCTGTTTACTATTGTATGCCTAGGCATAAATGGGTATATGTCTTAGGAACTTTTCTCATGCTGTGATGAAACACATAATCAAAGCAACTTACAAAATAAAGTGTTTAATTTGTGTTTTCATTTTCAGAGAGTTAGAGTCCATAACTGTCAGGATTCTCTAGAGGAACAGAGCTGATAGAATTAATCTATCTATCTATGGAAAGGGGATTTATGAGAGTGCCTTACAGGCTGTGGTCCAGCTAGTCCAACAATGACTCTCTACCAACAGAAAGTCCGAGAATCCAGTTGCTACTCCGTCCACAAAGCTGAATGTCTCAGCTGATCTTCAGTATATGACAGGACATGAAGTAGGCCCTCATGACAGTGAGGAATTAAGTTGCCAGCAATAACAGGAGCAAGCAGGCAAAGAGCAAGCACTTCCTTCTTCCCCATCCTATTATATACCCCATCATCAGCAGGTGTGGCCACATTAAAGGTAGATCTTCCCACTTCAAGAGATCCAGATTAAAGATGGATCTTTCTACTTCAAACAATTTATTCAGAAAAATCCCTCCAGGCAGTGGTAGCACTGGCCTTTAATCCCAGAGGCAAAGGCAAGCAGATCTCCGAGTACAAGGCCAGTCTGGTCTACAGAGTGAGTTCCAGGACAGCCAGGGCTATCTAGAGAAAAACCTGTTTTGAAAAATCAACCAACCAACCAGTAAAACAAAACAAAACCCAAACCTTTTCCAGGTGGATTTCTGTGAATTGGAGGCCAGGCTGGTCTACAAAGAGTACCAGGACAGCAAAAACTGTCATATAGAGAAACCCTGTCTTGAAAAAACAAAAACAAACAAACAAACAAAAAACAAAAAAAAACGGGGGCGGAGAGATGGCTCAGAGGTTAAGAGCTCTTCCAGAGGTCCTGAGTTCAATTCCCAGCAAACACATGATGGTTCACAAGCATCTACAATGAGATTATTGCCCTCTTCTGGCATTACATAATGTAAATAAATAAATCTTTTACCAAAAAGAGATATAAAGAAAAATCCCTCAAGGGTGTCAAGCCTCTTGTTTTAGTTAATTCCACAATGTAGTCAAGTTGACAACCAAGAGCAGCCATCACCAGTCTACCCCTTGTCAACTTGACACACTACAGTGCTTCTGTCATGCTTAATTTCCAAATGAAAACAATAACCAGATCATAATTATACCTAACATAACTATCACATGTAAAACTGCAAATGCACTATAAATTTTAGAACAGGTGTAATGTCCCTGGAGGGACATTCTTTTAGTATCTCGAAACATAAATATGATAACCACTGATATTCTCTTAATTGACATTACATGATAAAGAAATAAAGGAAAGAAAACAAATATTTGCACAAACACTTTCTTAACAAAACATAACAGAAACAATTACAATCCTTGTTTATGTAACTGACCACACGGCCTTCTGTATCTCCTCCACCCTCAGCAGACCCTGGTTCTTTTCCTGGAGGGTGACCCATACATTCAGCCCTGATGGGTCTGTGCCTCCCTGGGTTCGGCCATTGTAGTTTCCCATTGCCTTTAATCACAGAACTTGGTAGAACCAAGAGATGCCCTAAAGGATCTCCTGCACTCCAGACATAATCCTTTAACCTTCATCATGGAGAAGCAATCTAATTTCTCCTTGATAATTTTGACTGGTCACCCCTCCTAACATTGTTATTCCCTTCGTAGCCTGTTGGCCTAAAGTGACCAGAGGGAAGTCTGAGCTTCCTGTCAATGGAATGTTTGTTGTGTTTCCTGGCAGGAATACTTCCTGCTCTGGAACCAAAACTTCTAGACCAGCAGAACTTAAGGTTACTGGAAAAGGTATCAAAAATTTTCCTAGTAGTTCACTAGGGGTGATAGTGAAAAGAATCATTCCCTTTCCAACCCCTTGATTCCTGGACCCATGGACCCTGGCTATGGGACAAACCGTATTATACATTGGATGCTGATTCAAAGTATATACAACCCTCTGGAGAACCCTATCCAAGTCCTCAGGCTGCTGCCACCTAACTGGAGGTTGTCTTCAAAAGGCCATTCCATTGTCCTATCAGGCAGCCGGTGGGGAACATGTTCAGACCATGGATTCCTTGATTGTGAGCCCACTGTTGTCCTTCTCTGGCTATGAAGTGAGTTCCTTGGTCAGAAGTAATAATGTGCAGAATACTAAGACAGTGGAAAAGACATTCTATAAGTACACAGATGGTAAGCTTTTGGCAGAAGCATTACATGCTAGAAAGGCAAATCTATAATCAGAACAAGTATCTACTCCACTAAGGACATAATGACAGAAGACACTGAATGCTATTCTCATCAGTCATCAGGCAAAGATGGGAGGAATGAAACATTTTCTGGTGAAGCAGTCACATGACATACACAATACATATTTTAGAAGTTCGCTATTTAGATAGGTGATTGTTACAGTATTCCAGGCAAAATGATGAGGATGTGTACCAGGTTAATAACAGTTAAAAAGGAAAGCGAAGGGCTAGAGAGATTGCTCAGTGGTTAGGAGTACTTGTTATTCCAGAGGATCCAGGTTTAATTCCCAGCACCCACACGGCAGCTCACAACTGTCTGTGACTCCAGTTCCAGGTACCCCACCTTGATACAGACACACACATCAGAAAGGAAGGAAGGAAGGGAAGAAAGAAGGGAGAGTGGCAGGTGCAAGAGGCTGAAGCAAGATCACTAGTTTGTGGCCAGCCTGGGCTATGTAGCCAGACACAGTCTCAAACAAGACTGGAGCTAGGGTGTAATTCAGTGAGAGAATGAAAGGTGCTTGGCATGTATGAGGCCCTTGGTTCAATCCCAATAAATGCTATCTACTTTCCATCTATATAAATAGATTTGCAGTCTGTAATATTTTCCTCATGTTTAATTCTAGCTAAAGGGCAGTCAAAGAGAGACAATATAGCAAAGAAGTTAAAAGCTGAGGCTCTCACGGGAGAGTACATGGAGACTGCAGAAGAGGACAGACATTGAGAAAAATGTAACAGAAGATTCTGAGGTCAGTCTCCTCTCAGACACCTTCCTCATTTATACATGGCCCATAACACCCCATGGCTCACGCAGTCTTGCCAGAAACATACCGAAGATGTAAGGCCACTAAAGCAATTCTTGGAGCATAACCAAATGAAAATATGTCACTATCTTTCAAATAGTTAAACCTACCTTTCTTTCACCACCTAGTCATCCTCCAATAGAGAGATAAGACAGAACAAAGGTCACAGAAGCTGTTTTCTAGAGGAGTGGCACGGAATCACAATGTTAGATATCACCCTTAAAATTGTGTGGGGCTGCTGGAGATCGACCAAAGCTAGGGCAGTCTCTAAAACCTCTACCATGAATTAAAAAAAAGTCTTCTATCAAGTCTGCATCACTAATTTCTACAGATGAATTACTAACTTTCCTCAACTTCCTTTTTGTTTTTGTTTTTTGGAGACAGGGTTTTTCTGCCTGTCCTGGAACTCACTTGTAGACTAGGCTGTGCTCCAACTCAGAGATCCACCTGCCTCTGCCCTGGAGTGCTGGGCTTAAAGGAGAGCGCCATCACATCTGGCTTCAATTACTACTTCTTCCTTCCCTTCAATCTATTTTTTTGTTTTTTTTGTTTTGTTTTGTTTTTGTTTTTTTTCGAGACAGGGTTTCTCTGTGGTTTTGGAGCCTGTCCTGGAACTAGGTCTTGTAGACCAGGCTGGTCTCGAACTCACAGAGATCTGCCTCTGCCTTCCGAGTGCTGGGATTAAAGGCGTGTGCCACCACCGCCCAGCTCTTCCCTTCAATCTTAAAGTCCTTAGTGAATCCCTATTCCTTTCTATCATTTTCTATTTTTCCTTCACATATTCAATTTCTCCCCTTTCTGTCTCCCTCCTTGATGTGTGTACATGTCTAAAACAACCACTTCTTGGGCTAATCTTTATTATTCTCCTCTCAAAATCAAACGCTTCCCCTATTCACACTCCAACACACACACACACACACACACACACACACACACCTTTAAAAGATGCTCCCAGGCCGGGCGATGGTGGCGCACGCCTTTAATCCCAGCACTAGGGAGGCAGAGGCAGGCGGATCTCTGTGAGTTTGAGGCCAACCTGGTCTGCAAGAGCTAGTTCCAGGACAGGAACCAAAAAGCTACGGAGAAACCCTGTCTCGAAAATCAAAAATAAAATAAAATAAATAAAAGATGCTCCCACCAAAAAATCTCCACTGGAGTTCTTCTGTACTCAAGTCCTCCTGCCCCAAACATACTTTAATAATTTCCACAAGTAGACGTTGTCGGAAATGCTCGTTTTAAGTACCGGCTAGTATTTCTTTCTCACTGCCCCCACTCTACAGTCTAGTGTAACGGTTCTCAGCCTTTGGCTTGCAACCCTTCTGAGGGTTGAACGACCCTTTACACGGGTGTTTCCAGTACAACTTATAACAGTAGCAAAATTACAGTAATGAAGTAGCAACGAAAATAACTTTATGGTCGGGGTCACCGCAACATGAAGGACTGTATTAAAGGGTTGCAGCTTTAGGGAGGTTGAGAATCGCTGGTCTAGTGGAAGCAGTATCAGTGGAATTTTTAAAAAAGAAAAATGCAGAGCGCTGTTCCATCTCCGACAAGTAGCCCGGGATAACCTGCAAACACTCAAAACCACAGAGTACTGGGAACGCCATCTGCTCGGTCCCTCACACTTAAAGAACCCACGGGAGAATGGTCACGGCCACAGTCTCCAAGGGACGATACCGGCAGGGTATTCAACACAGCCCTCAACTGGAGGACGACTCCCGCCCCGCGCAGCCACGACCACCACCTCACATCACAGCGGAATTCTGTCGCCCCCTTGATGACGCCGTCGCGGGCCCCGGCGTACCTCAGTGACCATCCCCGAAGCCACCCAGTGGTTCAGCAGTAGCCCAGCCGCACTCGGCGCGGACGCCGGGTCCCACGGGTTCGCGGCAGCCATGGCTCCTCCACACTTCTGGAACTGGCGCCGGGAGTGAGAGGCACACAACGAACGATCGCGCGGCTTGATGATGTCACAGGGCGTTCCCGCCCGGGCGGAAGCCCTGGGAGCGCGTCTCAGGCGAGCGCGGGTCCCGGGTGTTCCCTGGCGGAGCCTTATCTGCACGGAGCCTTAGGAGGCGAGTCTCGAGCCCCCTGATCCGGCAGCGGCTGCTGGAGGCTCCCCGGCCTTAGCTCGGCTTCCAAAGCAACAGGACCTTGTGGTAGCGCTGTCTACCAGCCTGCTTTCTCCTTGCCACACTCTCTGGCTGCCCCCTAGGAAGTAGGGATAGGCAGAAGGTGACAACTGGGACAGGAGACCCAAACGGGAGGTTTACCGGGTGGCTCTAAGTCCAGACTGGGCGGTGACAGCTACGCTTCTTTCCCGCAGGGAACTGAGCCGCGGCGCTAGGATGGGAAACAGTGCCCTCCGCGCTCATGTGGAAACAGCGCAGAAAACCGGTGTCTTTCAGCTTAAAGACCGTGGTCTGACCGAGGTGAGATGAGAGGGGACCCGACCGAGAAACTAAAAGGGAGAGGGATGGCCGGGTGGCCAAGTTTATTGGTGCGGGATTTTCCACGCTATGAACTCCTATCTTCAGTTCCCCTCAGAGTTGCAGAAGCTGACAAGCAATCTAAGGACCATCGATTTGTCCAACAACAAGATCGACAGCCTGCCGCCTTTGCTTATAGGAAAGTTCGCTCTGCTGAAGAGCCTCTCCCTCAACAACAACAAACTGAGTATGGCTTTTGTGCTGGCTAGCTTTTGCTAGTGAGCAACAGTTATGAAGGGTGTTTTTCCTCTTACAAACTGATTTTGTTACGAAATCAGCTCAGGAGATGCAGAATGTTAAGAGTATTGAAGCTTTCTGCCTATTGCAATTAAATCTACACGCCTCCTTGGGTAGCATAATCATTACTACTAGGTTAATTTGGACTCAGAAGACTTATGGGATAAGGTGTAAACAGAGTTATCTAATTGGGGGCGGGAAGGTGGAATGGAAGGATCTTCAAAACCTCCCTAGATTGTTGTTAGAATATACCGAGGCCCCATTACAAAACGAAACTACTATACCCATAAATGCTTTTCTGCATTTAATGGCTCCTTAATCTTCTGAACACTGTTGGTAAAATGTGATACCTAAACGTGACGTGAGAATTCTATGTAAGAAGTGGGGCCTGGTGATTTAGGCCTTATGATTCCAGCTAATCAAGAGGCTGAGGCAGAAGGATCATAATTTCAAGGCCAGCCTAGACAACTTAATGAGACCCTGTCTCAAAAATAGAAACAAAAACAAAATGAAGCAGACTGCACTGTCTTTTTGTAAACTTCATTAGTTCTATCAGATTCTTAAAAAAAAATTTCTTTACCAGCTGTTCTACCCGATGAATTATGTAATCTGAAAAAACTAGAGACTCTAAGTCTAAACAGCAATCACCTGAGAGAGCTACCATCCACCTTTGGGCAGCTTTCTGCCCTGAAGACCCTGAGCCTCTCTGGGAACCAGCTGGGAGCACTACCACCCCAACTTTGCAGCCTGCGGCATCTGGATGTAGTAGATCTCTCTAAAAACCAGATTCGGAGTATACCCGACACAGTAGGGGAGCTACAGGCCATCGAACTCAATCTCAACCAGAACCAGGTTGGTACTTTTATTTCTGAGAGAGATCTGCCCCCCTCCCCTGTGTATGTCTGGTTTTACGGTCTCCCAATCCTTTCCTGTTTCTTCAAGGATATCAGAGGCTAAAAGATATAATCCATAAACTGAACTTACTTCAATGCCCAATGTCAGGGAGTGCGTTGATGGTGACTATGTAATAGTGTTCAAGGTGTTTTGCAGAAGGCAGAAGAGTAATGGTGAGATATTTACACACACACACACACACACACACTGGAAGTTTTGCAAATCTTCAGTTCCTTTTCACACCACCAATCACTCAGTGAGGAGCCAGGGCAGGGATGGTATATAGAGAATAAGACCTAAACCCATTAAATCTAAGATTCAGACATCTTTTTCTCTGGCTTGGTTAAGTATCCTTCCGTTGAAAAATCCCTAAGTGACAGTTTTTCTGGAGCGAGCTTATCATTGGCAACTTTAAATTTGAAATGTTTTGCCGTGTTTTGAATCTTCTTGGTTGTTTGGAAAAGCACTCTGCTCTAGGCATGAGGCAGTGATGAAAGAAACACGAGCTTAGAGAGCCCTTAGTTTCTGTAGCTTTTATGTCCCATGTGTGTACAACTCAGTATATTAGCCACCATGTACAGGTTACTGGTCTGCTAGACCATAGTTAGCATTATTATGACATTCACTCTGAGGGTGGCTTCATCTTTTCCCTGAGATTTTTAAGGAAAAATGGATTAGATATACCATGTAGCTGGAAGGTTTCTCAGACCTTAGTTGAATAATCTGGGGAACCTAAGGTGAAAGGTCTAAGAATCTGCATTTGCAATAAAATTCCCAGGTGAGGGTTGGAGATACGAGGTAATCAATAGAATATAGTGACCTGGGACTGGACAGCAGCTGAGAGGTACAGTAATTGTGTGGCATACATGAGACTCCGGTTCATCCTGCAGCATTGGCAGGGGCTGCTTGTTCGTCCCGGCCACCCAGAACCAAAATAATCACACAGATACCATATTATTTAAATCACTGCTTGGCCCATTAGCCCTAGCTTTGTATTGGCTAACCCTTACATATTAATTTAACCCATTCTGTTAATTTGTGTATCTCCACATGGCTGTGACTTATCAGCTGAAGTTCTGGTGTCTGTCTCTGGGGGGGCTACATGGCTTCTCATGACTCCGCCTCCTTTCTCCCAGCATTCAGCTTACTTCCCCAGCTCTGTTTTCCCTATAGCTCTGCTATAGGCCCCAAACAGTTCCTTTATTTATCAGTGGTAATCACAGCATATAGAGAGAAATCCCACATCACTGCAGCATGGGTAGGAAAAGACTCGGAGCATTTAATGGGCCAAAGAACTGAATGGATCGAAGACAAAGTGTCTGATACTGACCTGGAGGCCCTACACAATGCTGTTGAATGGACATCCCAATGTTTTAGTGAAAATTGTAGATACAAAACTATATTAGAGATTAGTAAGGCAGGACTGTTGATTCAGATTTTGAAGTCATAAGTGAAATAGCTTTAAGAATGACTGTTTTCTAGGAGATGTTTGAGAATGTAAAATATGAAGCATTAGGGGTTTCTGCTTGAAAATAAGAAATAGATGTAAAAACAAAATCAGAAGAAATTCAAGAGAGGAAAAACCTAGAGTCGCGCACAAGATGAAGTCTCAAGGAAAGGATGGACGGCCCAGTCAATGTAGCAGTGCATGGGGGGAGCATGGAACCTTGCCTCTGGCAAGGGAGCAGCAGGTGTCAGAATGGTTATGTGGTTGTTTCTGAGTAGCAGGTTACTGGAAACTTTTCCCTCAAACTTAATGATTCTCATGTTTTCTGTAACGAATGTACAGTGCTTTTATTATTAGTTTTTATTTCTGAAAAACTACTGGTAACCTTCACATCATTTGAAAGTGGAGGAGTAACAGAAGGCTTGTTAACAGAGGCTTCTGCAACGAGTAGGTAGTGAGAAGACGGAGGCGGTGGAAGAGTAACTAGGACACAGGCGAGGTCTGTTTCAGTGTGGTAAGAAGTGGCCGCTGTGCTCTCTGCCCTCTGCTTTGCTGCTGGACAGATTTCTCAGATCTCAGTGAGGATCTCCTGCTGCCCACGCCTCAAAGTCCTGCGCCTGGAGGAAAACTGCCTCGAGCTCAGCATGCTTCCACAGAGCATCCTCAGCGACTCCCAGATCTGCCTGCTCGCTGTGGAAGGCAATCTCTTTGAAATAAAGAAACTTCGAGAACTAGAGGGTTATGATAAGGTATGTATTGGCATCTTCCACATTTCTGGTGTCTTGCCAGAGAAAATGCTGAGGTAACCTAGGTAATGTCTACAGTTGGCATCGCCAGATTCACATTATGGAGGCAGTTAAGACTTGGTCAGACTGTATTTGGGCCAAGATGACTTTTTCCACACTCTGCATATCTTCCTAGTAATAGACATGAGAAAAATCAATGTGCTTTAGTAACTAGAGTTTCCTGGGTGTGGTTGTATGGTTTTAATCCCAGCACTTGGGAGGCAGAGGCAGAGAGATCTCTGAGTTAAAAGGCCATCCAGAGGTACATAGTGATAATCTGTCTCAAAAAAGGAGAGGAAAGGGGCTGGAGAGATGGCTCAGTGGTTAAGAGCTCTGCCTGCTCTTCCAAAGGTCCTGAGTTCAATTCCCAGCAACCACATGGTGGCTCACAACCATCTGTAATGAGATTTGGTGCCTCTCTGGCCTACAGGGATATATGCAGGCAGAGCACTGTATACATAATAAATAAATTTTTTTAAAAAAGGAGAGGAAAAATAAAAGTAAATTTTGTATGAAATGAACCAAGTCAAATTAGAAAGAAAAAAATTAAAAACCTAAATTTAAAAAATACCCTTAGCCGGGCGGTGGTGGCGCACGCCTTTAATCCCAGCACTCGGGAGGCAGAGACAGGCGGATCTTTGTGAGTTCGAGGCCAGCCTGGTCTACAAGAGCTAGTTCCAGGACAGGCTCCATATCTACAGAGAAATCCTGTCTCGAAAAACCAAAAAAAAAAAAAAAAAAACAAAAAAAACCCCTTATATTTGCCCATAATTACCATATGTGTATTTTTCTCTTGTGTTTTTAGTACATGGAGAGGTTCACAGCCACCAAGAAGAAGTTTGCATGATGTTCTACAGGACCATGAGAACCCTACAGGACACGGACTTGGAAGCTCTGTTGGAATCTGGCCGAGCTAAAGGCTCCTGATGTGGGAGATGCTCCAGATGACATTTCATTTAATAACTTTCTGATAAGCTAAAGGAGAGGACTTAGGAGGCAGGAGGAGCCTTTCATTTTGAGCCATGGGTAGGGCGATGGCCAGCGCTGGTCTTCAAAACCAGCATCTAAGAAACCAGGAGGTAGTTGCTGTTCATTGAGGGAATGCTGCCTGCTAACAGGACGACTCCATACCACAGCTGGAGACTTTCTCGGGTTGTAGCAGGCCAGCTTTCATAAAGTCAGTTACCACATCACCTCTGTGTTAACACTTCATATTTTTATGAAATTCTAATTTGTGGGCAACTTGTATGGTTAAGGATTTAGGCTTTTGTTCCGTGCTTCCACTTGGAACTTGGGGTGTACATAAATATGTAGCTATCTCAAAGCAAGCTTTACCAAGAGGAGCACCAACCCCTCAGCCACCAAGGAATGCTCCACAAGGCTGCAGTAGCAATTTTTTTTTTTTTACTATTGTGGGTGCCTTATTGGTAGGGGGCTCAGAAGTGCTAAAAGTATATGCAAAAATTGTAAAATTTTTGTTTTTTAGTCAATTTAGGTATTTGCTATGTAGCCCAGGCTGCCCTCGGAATTACATTCTCCCTGCCTCTACCCCCTTAAGTACTGGGATTACAGGCATGCGCCTCACTAAGCCTACTTGTAAGATTTTAAATGAATTTTAATAATCAAGATTTTCCTGGAGCTTTACTAAAAATCATGTGTTATTTATGGTAATTTCTCCCATTTTTGTATTTATAACTGTACTAATCAAATTACCTTCAAGAAAACCATTGCTATAATATTTTAAATTAACCTATGTTTATCATGGTTATTCTCTGAATGAGAGGACATACTAAATAAAATATTTTTAATGAACTTTGGAAGCAATGTCAATCATTTAAAGAAGAGCTTGTGATCTCCTGAGTGGTGCTTTGTTCTTTGAAAGTAAACTTGGAATGTGTTTCATGAGCAGTGAAATCTACTGTGTCGCTCAGACGTTTCTGAGGAACTGGGAACCGTGCTTAAGAGAATGTGAGGGCACACAGTTTTCAGATTGTCACTGGTAAGAACGCTCAAAGCCATCGCCAGGACTGGTTTCTGAAGTCTGTTCTTGGCTAAGGATATACTAGTAGTTTTCAATAATAGTTAATACTATCTTACAGTTAAAAAAAAATCACAAGAGCTTACATGAAGCAGCCTTTCTGGCCTTGTATTTGGTTCAGGTGTTCTTTTCCCCATGTTGTTTTCTCTATTGGGGATAGGTGGCGTCAGTTGCTCAGTAGCCATCATGAAGATTTATTTTTCTGTGTTTGAGTTGAGAAGAGGGAATTGGATTCTCTGGAACTGGAGCTACAGATAGTTTTGAGCTGCCTTGTGGAGGCTGGGAACAGAACCCAGATCCTCTAGAAGAGCCACAAGTGCTAAAACCACAAGTGGTCCTACCCTATGTCTAAGCTCCTTTCCTAAATCTAATCCGAATTAACTATTCCCCCATCTGTTGATAGAATGGTTTCCACAGCCTATATTTATCTCTCTTACTAGATTAAAGTGCTTGACGCTTTAAGGAGCTGGAGAGAGAGCTCAGTGATTAAAAGTACTTGTTTTTGCAGAGGACCCAGGTTCAGTTCCTATACCTACAGGATGGTTCACAACCATCTATAACTCCAGTTCCAGGGGATCCAACACCCTCTTCTGGCCTTTGGGCACTACATATGTGTGCTGTACCTACATACATGCAAACCTAACAGTCATACACAAAATCTTTAAAAACAACAAAAACAAAACAAAACTACCCAATAAGCTTTAAGTTTTCATTTGGAGTCACAATATGGATGGGGTAGGATCATGGGCTCCATCCTCAGAGGGGTCAAGGTCTGGATCCAGAGTTTGTTATTTAATAGCTTTCTAAGCAATTTACTCTCATCTGTAAATATAGGGAATACTTCTCAGGTATGTATTATAGTGAGAAGACACATAAAAACAACACAGCGGTACTCAATGAAATAAGCCATTTATCTTATCTATAAAGCCTAAAAGTACAGTTGAGTAAATGATACAGGAATAGAGGCAGAAAACCAAAACTTCAGGATAAGTGATCTGAGTATCAGATCAAACTAGGGACCTAATCAGGATAACTAGGAAATGAGATCACCCAGGAAACCAGCATTCAAATAACACGTTTTAATTTTTATCACACTTTATTTTATGTGTATGTGTGTATAAGCTTGCATACACCATGGTATGTGGAAGCTGGAGGGCAACTTTTGTGAGCTGGCTTTCTTCCACCACGTGGGTCCTGGAGATCACACCTGGCTTGTCAGGCTTGGAAGCAGGTGACTCTACCTGCTGAGCCATCTCACTGTCGCCCCCCTTTTCTGAGTAGGTTTTCACATATCCCAGATTGTCCTAACTCACTGTATAGCTGAAGATGACCTTGAACTCCTGGATCTTCCTATAATCTCTGACCTAGTACTGAGATTAGAGGGGCGTGCCACCACACCTGGCTTATGGTGACACAAGATTGAACCTAGGTATTCTTGAATACTAGGCAAACACCCTGTGAACTGAGTAATTCTACAACTTCAGTCCTAAAAAGTTAATTTTAAATGTTCATTATAGGATGTTTAGAATTTAGATGTTTTAATGGGAGAGTCATAACCCATATGTAATAAGGAAAGATCAAGTGAGAATAAAGGATAAATTAAAACTGAAGAAAAAACAAAATGGGAATAGCTCAAGTTAAGACTCAAAAGATGAAATTTGAGCTTTACTGTTTTGAGGCAAGGTGAGAATTAATTTAAAAGAATACAAAGTTTATGCCTGGTGGTGGTGGCACATGCCTTTAATTCTAGCATCGGGGAGGAAAAGGGAAGCAAATACTGTGTTTGAGGCCAGTCTGATCTAGAGATTGAGTTCCAGGACAGCCAGGGCTGCAGAGAGAAACCCTGCCTCAAGAAACCAAAAAGAAAAAGGAGAAAAGGTTTGGTACAGGATACTTGTTTTTTTTTGTTTGTTTGTCTGTTTTTGGAGACAGGGTTTCTCTGTGTAACATCCCTAGCTGTCCTGGAACTAGCTCTGTAGACCAGGCTAGCCTCAAATTTACAGAGATCTGCTTGCATCTGCCTTCTGAGTGCTGGGATTAAAGGTGTGTGCCACCACTGCCCGGCGGGACACTATTTCTTAACTGTAGTCACAGGGACTGTGTTCAACGTCACAATACTAGAAAATGAAAAAGCGAAGCCAGATGACAGATGACTCCAGCTCATGTTAACTACTTGCTATTAACTCTCAAAAATAATGGAAGGGACAACAGTTTCTTTGCTTTTATTCTCTTTCATCAAATTCACGGATCTTTGACCAAGAAGAACTCCCGCCATTCTAGAGAAAATAGCTATTATTTATTACATGTACACCTGACAGGCACCATTCTAAGGTTTTTGTTTGTCTTGGTGGGGGGGGAGGGTGTTTTTATCTAAATGTAGCTTAGGCTGGCCCACAATTCAATGCATAGGTTGGCTCTGCCTCAGGTTCCCCAGCGATGGGATTACCAGTGTAGCCTCTGAGCCCTGCTTACTCTAAGAGATTTCTCGGCATTACCATTCTGTGAATTAGTTTATGAAGTAGGATTAATTAATTCCCATTTATAAGTAAGGAAACCAAGGCACGGAAAGAGGCACACATTCATACCTGCCAATGAGAGCAAAGGAAAAACTGACAACTGGGTGCTTTAATACATGTTCCAACCAACTAAACCTTGGATCCCACCTTGCAGTACCGTTTCTTTAGCCAGATCAATGCTAAAAGAAAAGCACTTTTAGGTATAGCACTATCTAGTGTTTTAAACTTAGTTATACTTTATACATTCAATCCCTTTACCTGACAAACTATCCATCCTGTTTCGGAGCATTTCTCTGTTGTTTAACTTCAATACTGTCCTCCTCACCCTTGGGATGTTTCTGAGCTGTGTCGTCTTTAGTAAATGACTTGTAACTAACTTCCAGTTAGAAATACTCAGTGGGGGCTGGAGATATGGCTCAGTGGTTGGGAGCACTGACTGCTCCTTCAGAGGACCCAGGTTTGATTCCCAGCACCCACATGGCAGCTCACAAATGTCTGAAGATCCAGTTGCAGGGATCTGACACATTCACACCAATGCACATAAAATAAAAGTTAAATAAACCATAAAATATTTAAAAAAAAAAAGAAATACTCAGTGGATTTAAGTTCAAATGACTAAGACAATTAATGACTAGAACGGACTCGTGAACAGCCACAGAAACTCCTATAAACATTCCTAATAAAAATTGGAAAAGAGCTAATTGCAGCGTTCAGTTGCAGTGCTTGATGGGTGGACATTTGCTTTATTCGATTTGTTAACTGATTAAATGATCGCCCCCACAAATAAGTCAGAAACATGTTGCCTATTTGAAAGAACAATACCATTAGTTACAAAATTTAATTGTAAGAATCAAGTAATGGTTATTGGTCAAGCCAATCTACTTTGGTAGCTCTAAAGTGTACAGATGCTAATTCTTAAACAAAGGTGACAACAGCAACTCAGCATTCCCAGCATTGCAGGATCTACATAGGCGTGACTCTGAACATACAGCAGAGGGGGTGGCAGTACAGTCATCAATGATTAATCTGAAGGCCTTATTTCCTAAACAACTTTTAGTAACAAATTATAACTTTTTAAATGTCTAAAACTACACAAAATCCAAAGTAATCTATTTTGCTACCTGAGATCAAAACAAGTTTTCTTTTTCATATCTAAACGTAATTCTTAGTATTGAGGTAAATCTGAATTCACATGATACACTGTCAAACTTTACCCAAAATTTTGAAGCCCTGCTTTAGTGAGGAAGTCTTATATTTCATATATATATGTACATCTTTAAAAGATTAATGACAACTTCACGAGGTTAACAGGTCTACAATGGGACCATGCTATGACTCCTGATACGAGAATTTCTACATGTGCAGTATGAAACGGGATCCCAGAACCTATGTACATATACAAATCACTACAAACTCAGTGAAGCTCACTGTAAGAAAACCCACTGTGTTCTCCTTTGGAGCAGAAGCTGCGAAATAGTGATGTAAAAAAAAAAAATGCATGAGTAAAACCTCCCAGCCCGGGCATTAGCCTGTTTCGTTTTCCTGACCTGTAGTTTCTTTAATGAGTTAACAACTTCAATTCTTCTTCCTTCCTCTTGCTCTTTACCACAAAACTAAAACCAAACCAACCAACCAACAACAAAAGCTACTTATACAGACACCCACACTTCATGGCTCTTTGGCAATGCTTCCAAATCTTGAAAGCAAAGATGCTAAGTGAGGAGGATGATGGACTGGGTGTGATGCACGGAAAGCAGCTTAGGAGTGTGAACGGGGAGAGGCTGTAGTGAAGCCTAAGCAGGAACCTACCCCAAAGGACAGAAAGGAAGAAGTAGGGAGGCATTCCTCCTCTGGTCCTTCTTTCACCAACTTTCAAACTCTGAACAGGTAATGACTTAGGAGGAGCTAGAGAACGGAGAAACTGGTAAAGAAGTACAGCAGTGGCTTTAGCTGTCAATGAGTTTCTTTGCTCTTGTATTGGCAATGTCAATCCGATCTTTGTTGGTGTCAGCCTGGAGGGAAAAAATAAAGAAAAAGAAAAATCTCAGTATTTGTTCACAAATCACACTTCAACGCAAGTTGACTTGGGGGATGAGAGTATAGTTCATTACAAATATCACACATACGCATGCACAGTTTTATATACTTGGGACCTTGATATGGGCATATGACTATAATCTCGGCATTCAAGAGACTGACATGAGCTCAACAGCAACCTGGGCTACGGTCAAACTGTCTCAAAATAACAGTGAAAGAGGATGAGGATACAGTTCAGTAGAGCACTTGTCAAGCACACATGATGTCTTATGTTCAATCACCAGTACAATAAAAAAGCAAAATGTTTAATGTGTGCGGGTATTTCACCTCAATGTGTATCTGCACACCATGTGCCGTGGAAGCCACAAAGAGGATGCCGGATCCCTGGAATGGAGTGGGATGCCATGTGGGTGCTGGGAATCTACCCACACCCCTGGTTTACACACATGCCCCACCACGTCTGGCTTGTATGTGGGAACCTGGGATCCAGATGCAAGTCCTTATGCTTGCATGGATGGCAGGCACTTCAACAGAGCCACCTCTGTTTGTTTGTTTGTTCATTCATTATGTGCATTGGTGTCTTGCCATGGGTGCCGGATCCCCTGGAACTGGAATTACAGACAACTGTGAGCTGCCATGTGTTCATTGGGAATTTAACCCCAGTTCTCTGGAAGAGCAGTCAGTGCTCTTAACCACTGAGCCATCTCTCGAGCCCTGCCATCTCTATTCATTTTTGAAACTACAACTTATTACCTGGGCTGGCCTTGAGTTTGTGAGTTCAAGTGATCTTCCCATCCCTCTAGAGAGGTGGAATTGCAGGTATGTAATCCCATGCCCAGCTCATTTTTGATGCTCTCCGACAGGAGTCTCATTTGGAGCTACCCTAGTTCTGACCAAGAGAGACTAAAATAACCTTGCCAGAGATCTTTGGAACAGATGTACTGCCACCCACAGAAGCATCTAAATTAAAATGATGTGTAATCTACACCCCAAACCCAGACGACAGCATTTTATGGTAATCCTGTAAGTGGCTCCAGTGCAAGTGCCTGAAGAGGACAGCGGGTGTCATACTCCCTAAAGCTAGAGTTGCAGGCAGCTGGGAGCCATCTGATGTGGTTGCTGGGAATGAACCCAGCCGAGCACGGTAGCAAGCACCTTTAATCCCAGCATTTGGGAGGCAGAGGCAGGTGGATCTTTTTGAATTCAAGGCCAGCCTGGTCTACAGAGTGAATTCCAGGACAGTCAAAGATATATATATATATTTGTCTCAAAAAACAAACAAACAAATTAAAAAGCAATAAGTGTATCTTTTAATCATAGAGTCATCTCTCCAGCCACATATAACTCTATTTCCTTTCTTTACTATTTTGTTGTTGTTGTTTTTCGAGACATGGTTTGTGTAGCCTTGGCTGTCCTGGAACTAAGTCTGTAGACCAGGCTGGCCTGCAACTCATATATCTGACTGCCCAAGTGCTAGGATTAAACGCGTGCATCACCAGCTAGACTCTGTCTGTCCTTGGATTCTCTATGTAGTCCCGGGTGGTCTTGAACTCACCACAGAGATCCATCTGCTTCTGCCTCCCCAGTGCTAGGATTATTGGTGTACTTCATTACACCCAACTTATTCAGTATATTCTTTTTTTGTTGTTTTTGTTCTTTTTTTTTTTTTAAAGACAGCCTTGGTTGAGCTTTGTACAGCAGGCTGGCCTCAAATTTACAAAGATCCACCTGCCTCTTCCTCCTGAGTGCTGGGATTAAAAGCATGTACCACCACCATATGGCAACTCAGTACATGCTTAAATTTCTTTTAAAATTACATTTTTTTATTTATTTGTCTATTTATTCATTATGTGTATGTACATGTGTATAGAGGTCAAAGGACAAACTGTAAGAATTGGTTCTATCCTTCTACTGTGTGGATCCCAGGGATCAGACCTAGTGGCAGGCACCGTTACTCCAGGAGCCACCTCACCAGCTCCACATAATACCCTCTTAGCTTCACACGGAAAGTTTTAGGTTAAACTTCATTCCAAGCCTGTGTCTTCACAATGAACCAACTGCCATGAGCAAAATAGCAAGACTGGCCGTTTGATTTTGAAATGTTGGTGCTGCCAGCTCACCAGCACTGTTCTGAGTAGATGACGTTTATCCCCCCTCCCCCCAAAGTACCCAGCACAGACGTCATCACTAAAGTATCACTGGACTGGCTATCTCATTGTTCTGTGGTCTTACTTTCTTACCTTTTCTGTGATCCTCTGTATTTGCTGGTTCTGAGCATCAATTTCATTGCCCATGTCCAGAGCCATGTTCTTTAGATTGCCTAGGATACTGCCCACTTGAGTCAGGTTCTCTTCCATCTCATCTTCTCTGGCATCATTAGTTATACTGTCACAAAAGGAGAGTTAAATCGGAAATTTTTGTTGAGTTACAATGGACAAAATCAAGAAGGGGTGAAAAGAGAAAAGAAAGGAGGCAAGCAGGAATGGCACAGGCTAGCAAGATGGCTTAGCAGGTGGGGTGGTTGCTGCGCTTGATGGAATCCATGTAAAGGTAAAATGAGAACCAACTCCAAAAAAGATGCCTTCTGCACTCCACATACACATTATGGCATATATGTGTGCTCATGTTCACACATACACATATAATAATAAAAGGGATTTTTGGTTTTGTTTTTAAAAGCCAAGCATGGCGGCACATACCTGTAATCCTAGCAATAAGAAGGCTAAGGCAGAAAGATCAGCACAAACTGGAGGTCAGCATGGGCTACACAGACCTTGTCTCAAAACAGCAAACAAACAGCAAAGGCTGGTCAGAGCCACATAGAATATGATCAACATAACTCTGGACAGCGACTCAGAGTATATTTTCCAGCACCGCTGAGGTGCTTGTTTATGGTAATACATTAATTCTCATACTCCATTCCAAATCTGCCTAATCAGGAACTGTGAGTGGATCTACTCAATCTGTATTTCTTTATTTAAAATTTTTCCTCCTCAGTAGAATCTCACTATATAGACTAGGAAGGCCTAGAAATCACTGTTTCCCAGACTGTCCTTGAATTTGGCAATCCTCCTGCCTCAGCTTTCCAAGCGCTAGGATTACCAGGAAAGCAACTTGGCTCCCATTCCAGATAGCTTTATCATGTTACCCTGGCTGGCCTATAGCTCCCAGGTTAAAGAAAGCCTCTTACCTCGGACTCCAAGCCCAATTGAATCTGTATGTTTCATTTTTAACTTCTACATTTCTTTACTTGTAGTGTGTGCATGCACATGCATATATACATGTCACAGCACATGTGTGGAGACCAGAGGGTAAGTTATGGAAATCAGTTCTCTCCTTTTACCATATGAGAACTGGAAACTGAACTCAGGACAGCAGGCATGGCAGCTCCTTTCCTGCTGAGCCTTCTCTCCAGCCTCCAATCTGTGCTTAATAAACCTTCAAATCAATCTACGCACATTCAGATCTAAACAACTACTACTTTAAAGCAGACTGGAAAACTACAATGCAGTAGAAAACCTAATAGTCATTGTATCTAGAGTAAACCTCAGAATAAAACAGTTGTTTTCTGGAAGTACTTAAACCTTGAAGAAACCACTGTAGAAAACAGTCATTGTTTTCTATTATCGACAGAGCTGCTTTACTGAAGGAGCTTTATAGCTTTTATGACTATGCTTTTGGTCACAAGGTGATCCTGGCACACCTGAGCTGTCTTGTATTACTAAGTACTGCAAACAGTGCACCATAAGGACTAAAGTTACAGGGGTATAATGCTTCCCTTCACGAAACATATTAATTAGGAACTTCGGTATGAGGAATTTGTTTTACCCAAAAAACAACTTTGGTATAACAATAAATATACTTCTGCACAGCTGTTTGAGATTCAGTCCATCGAGGCTGGACCTCTCTTCTGCCTCAGAGCCTGATTACATTCTGTAGGGACCCTATTTCTTTGTGCTATGTAACTCAGAACACTGAAACTATGGCATTTACTAGGAGACAGTAGAAAGTAGGGTATGGGATTTGACGGCAGCTCTGCTTTTTCTTCCTTCCTTTTTGTTTTGTTTTGTTTGTTTGTTTTTGGTTTTTCGAGACAGGGTTTCCCTGTAGCTTTGGAGCCTGTCCTGGACTCTCTCTCCAGGCTGGCCTCAAATTCACAGAGATCTGAGATCTGCCTATTTTACCTGCTGAGTGCTGGGATTAAAGGCCACCACCACCACCACCACCACCACCACCTGGCTGCTCTGCTTTTTTTGTACTCCCTTCTCACTGTTTACTGTCTGCCGAAAAGTAAAAAACAACCTTCCTGCTGCCATGATTTTCTTTCTAAACTACCATGGAGCCTTTGGAATGAGAAGTCAAAATAAACCCTCTCTTAGAAAGAAGAAGAGCAGAGGGAAAGGAGGAAGACTGACAGACTACTTGCTGAGTTGGGGCTTATGTCTAGCCACACACAGTTTTTAAAGTGAGCCATTCATTAGAAGAGGTATAGGAGGAAGAGCTGACATACCGTTTAATGTATCCACCGCTGGCTGTTCCTGTGGCTTGCTGAGGCTGACCATTTGTTACCCGTCCTGGTTGCTTAGATACTACATTGCTAGGTGAGTTGTCTCCACCATCTCCCCATGTTGCCTTATAGTTCTTTCCAGACTCAAAGTTCTTCGTCCTATATAAATGTCAGGGATATAGGCAAACCAAAAAGCAGAAAAAGGGGAGTTAAAATGATTAGCGCTTTTTACCTTGAATAAGACTTCTGGCACTAGGTTACCTGTACTATGTTTAATGGCAACAGACAAAAGGGATGAATCAGATAAATCTACCAACATTTAATCATTTTGTTTGTTTTTTGAGACAGGGTCCCACTATGTAGCTTTGGTTGTCCTGGTACTTGCTATGTAGACGAGGTTGGCCTTGACTAATAGATATATCTGCCTGCCTCTGCCTCTCAAGTGCTTGAAATAAAGGCCTGAATCACTAATATCAGCCATTTATTCATTTTTAAAAGATCCAAATACTTCCAAATCTTTGCTAAGACAGTAGCAAAATGAAACCTGATGTTTTTGAGTCTTTCAGTTTAGAGCCTTTTATAGAAAAAAAAAAGGTTAATGGATATTAGGGGAAAAAATCCTTAGGAAAGATGTTCTGGGACACACAAAGACTCTCAGGGGAATCAGAGATTGATGTGTGCGTTGAAATCAGTCCACGAAGGTAACAAGAGGACCATCTTTGTCCTCTGCTGTTTGAACTAGAGTTGTTCTGGATGAGGCTTCGTTGTTTTAGTTTGTGTTATGCTTTTGTTTTTCGAGACAGGGTTGCTGTGTAGCCCTGGCTGTCTTGAAACTTACTTTGTAGAGCAGGCTGGCCTCAAGCTTAGAGATCAGCCTGGCTCTGTCTCCAGAGTGTTGGCGTTAAAAGCACACACCATCAAACCCAGCTTTGATTTTTGGGTTGTTTGTTTGCTTGTTTGAGACCTGGTTTCATGCAACCCAAGCTAACCTCAAATTCATTATGTACCCAAAGATAGTCTTGAATTTCTCCTGCCTCTGCTTCCCTAGTGCTGGGCTTATGTGGTACTGGGGATCCAATCCAGGGCTTTTCAAATGTCGGGCATGCACTCTAGCAAATGAACAAAAAGTCCCCAAATCCCTATCTGTTTTGTTTTTTTTTTTTTTTTGGTTTTTTGAGACAGGGTTTCTCTGTGGTTTTGGAGCCTATCCTGGAACTAGCTCTTGTAGACCAGGCTGGTCTCGAACTCACAGAGATCCGCCTGCCTCTGCCTCTCGAGTGCTGGGATTAAAGGCGTGCGCCACCACTGCCCGGCTCCCAAATCCCTATCTGTTTTAACGGTAGAAGTTTGCCTCACACTTATTTTTAAATTTAAGAATAAACAAAATATCATGAAGGAAAACATGGATTATTTCCAAATTGGACAACCAATGGCTAAATACCTGATCATACTGTTAAAAAATAGGACTCGGTCATTTTGGAATTTACTTTTTCTCCATTAAAAAACAAAAAACAAGTTAGGTCTTTTCCAACTAAAAGTTTTCTGGGCACAGGGAGGGACGGGTGCAGTTGGTGAGAGAGCTTGCCACACAAGCCCCAAACTGATTTTCATCTCTGAACCCAAGTGAGAGCTTTGTTGAGGGGGACTGCACCTGCAGCCTGTATTCCTGTTCTTATAACGAGACAGGTGCAGACGGCTGTGCTGGGCAGCTGGACCCCTGGGAAGTTTCAAGCCAGCCTGGTCTACACAGTGAGCCCTTGTATCAAAATAAAACTCAAAACAAAATAACCCCCTCTAAAGTTTTAGGTGTAGCTAAGGCAGTCAATGCATGGAATGCACTCCTCAACTGATGGATACAGTTGCCAAGAAAGAGCAGCTCAGGGAAGTGCTTTTCTTTTTTCTTGAGACAGGATGTAACCATGTGGCCCAGGCTGGCCAACTCTCCACCCACCTTGCTTCCACTTCCCAAGCACTAGGACTACAGGGTTATGACACCTCACTGTGTCATGTGACCTTTAAACGGCTACTTCAAAACTGCCTTTTACTGATTACTTTGTTAGAGACAAGACTTTACTTAATTTTCTTTTTATTTTTCTATAAACAATAATTAAGCACAATGTTCCTATAGTGTAATTCTTATTTATCCTAGGTTTGAGGAGGTTTCATAATTGCTTTGTAGAGGTCAAAGGACAGCTACTTCACTGGGCAGTTTCAATTGGCCTTCGACCTTGCTGAGGTGTTTGTTTCTGCTGCTGCTGCTGGCTGACAAGTTCAGGGCAGTTCTGCACTCAACCTGATGGAGAGAGCTAGATTACAGATGCACACCAGTGTATCGAGCTTTCACTTGGTCCTAGGGATTAAAACTGGGTTGTAGGGCCGGGTGACAAGCACTTTTACCTCCTGAGCCATCTTGTAGGCCCTTAAAGGAGAAATTTATGAATATTAAAAATCTAGTTCTCAAGTACTTTTCTTGGTTCCATCATCTTAAAACTCTCATAATTACTTTTTATATTTATAATACTGTTTTTGTCAATCAAACTATGTTAAATTTTTCCTGAAACAAGATGAAATTATCTAATTTTCAAATAATTATGTTAATTTAGTCATGTATACTTTATTAACATATAAGTTCCAGGCAAAAATCTAAATCAGAGTAATAATATACAAAACAATATTTCTCAATATTTTTAAAATGAGAGTAAGTGGTTTCTGCTCTTTTGTATATCTGTGGTGGTGGGGAATAACCCCAGGGGCCTCAACAGTCCCAGCATCCTATCACTGAGCTCCAATCCTGAGCACAACAGCCAAAAGTATTAACTGAGGTAATATAAGTAGAGTTTTTATTAGGATGCCAGATTGTAGAGCAGGTGGGAGAGAGAGTAATGAACTCAGAAGTGAGTAATAAAATCCAGGCACAGTGGCATACCTGCTAACCCAGGGCTCTGAAGACTGAGTAAGGCTAGTTTGGGCTAACAGAGTATAATCTTGTCTCAAAGACAAAAAATAAATAAATAAATAAAACAAAAACAAAAGTGACAATGAGATACTTAATTTTTTAACAATGAATCATAATCTTTTACAAAGATTAAAAATTAAGATAGTTAGGCATTACAACATACAGTAATCTGGAAGGTTTCACTCTAATGAAAAATTAGCTCTACTAATCAATTTGAAATTATAGAAAACCAAAACTAACATATTGATATTATAGAAATTATGCAACAAATTAAAGCCATTTGTGAAGAGAAAAACTTTTATCTCAAAATACAGTATATTTTATCTCAATATAAAAAAATAGTATTGGGCTGGAGAGATGGCTCAGTGGTTAAGAGCACAGACTGCTCTTCCAGAGGACCCGGGTTCAATTCCCAGCACCCACATGGCAGCTCATAACTGTCTGACGATCAGTTCCAGGGGATCTGACACTTCACACCAATGCACATAAAATAAAGTTAAATAAACCATAAAAATGTTTAAAAAAAAAAGTTTAAAAAAAATAGTATTATATAACACAAAATTTAAATTTTCTTTTTTTGATGTTGTTCTTTTGTTTTGATTTAAAATAGCACTGACTGTCTAAGAACTCACTCTGTAGATCAGGCTGACCATGAACACAGTGATCTGTCTACCTCTGCCTCTCCAGTGCTAGGATTAAAGATGTGGGGTATCATGCCTGGCACACTTAAAACTGATATTTACTTTATTATAAATAGGACTAATGATGACTAGACTGACAACTAATTTCTTGATTTGATAGTGGCCTAAATCATGGGAAATTAAAATACAGAGAAGCAATACTTTAATAGAAGCAATCTCCAGGCACCAGAGTGTGTGAGATGGAACAGAAAGATGCAGCCAGCCTGAGTTCCCCACCTTTAAAAGAACTACAGTGTAGGCTGGGATTGCAAAGGCCAACCACTTAAAGCTTAGGAAATGTCAGGAGTGCTTTTAGTTTGCTTTTGGTACATTAGTCTACGGGAGTTAAAACAGATGAGGATCCTTGTCATGTCCATCTGCAGTCTAATGCAAGAACAAATGCACTTCACACAACACACCACAGCACAGCTTTTGAAACAGCTCCCATCACTCACAAAACCCATGCACATGCATAGAAAAGCCATTTGGAGCATCACCTTTAGACAGCAGGTTAGCAGCTCAGTCTGCACCTCAAGACTGCGTCTTAAAGCTCCCTTTGATCAGTTACTGAGCCCGTCTTTTGATGTTAGAGCTTCGTTTTTAGTAAGCAAGAGAGGAAGAGATTAAGTGAGAGAATGAGAGGCAGACAACAGAGAATGTCAGTCAAACAGAACAGGAGCGGATTAGAGCTTTACACACGATGCATTCAAATGCCTGCCTGGTTTCAAAGAAACAAGCACCATCTGAGAATCTAGATAAAAAGAAACAAGAAAACAATTTAAGCCATTGCATACTTCATTTTTCCTGAGCGTGCCCAAAGGATAATATTCCTCAGTAAAACTCTAAAGCCTATTATGAGCAGAAAGTACTGGTTGCGGCACTCAAGTTCCCCCAGGCTTCCTTTGTGGACGCTCGCCTGCCATGTGCCAAGCCCTGCATGTGATCACAAATATACTAAGACAATAGTTAGCAGCAGTTATTAATCCCACCACCATGGAACAAAATAAACAAAAAAATATGACTCTTGTCTTCCAGAGCATTATAGATTTGTGGATGAGGGAAAAGGAGTGGGAAAATAGGGAGGGAAGGAAAGGAGAGAGAGTGGGGAAGAACGAAGGGGAGAATATATGAATCCACGTTGTTACATACTGGTCTAGTAGCACAGCTAGAACAAGGAGGCCTAGGATGCTGTGCGAGTCTGAGGGCCTCGTGTTACAGCTGATTGGCAGGTAAGGTCAGAAAGATCTAGACAGTGACGAAATGGGGATGGCCAAGAACAAGAGACACGATGGCAGCCGAGGTGTCAATAGTCTAAAGACACAGGGAGAAGGGGGCTCCCGTAGACATCTGCACTGGGCTCTGCTCTCTTCGCGGAAGAGCCCTTCTGCCACAGCAGCCCTTGACCCCATCTGTTACAGAACGCTTCCGCTCTGCCCACCGAGAAAGAATGCTGCCATGGCTGGAGGGCAGAGCCTATTTCAGGGCCATGTTGTACCTTCTCTCCCACAGGCAGGGACACACCAATACCACTCATGTTCTCTCATCTGTGACTCTTAGAATTCATTGCTATTTTGTCTATTAACCTACAACTTAGAGTCAAATCCTATTCTAGACTAAAGAGGAGCCTTCCTCTTCGTTCAAAAAAATTTACCTACTTCCTTCATTACATAGAACATAGGAGACAGGAACAAAAGTTTGTAAAACATAGTTAAGAGTCCGAATCACACTATATTGGCATTTAGAATTTGTGGGTTTTGTTTTTGTTTTTGTTTTTTTTTCGAGACAGGGTTTCTCTGTAGCTTTGGAGCCTGTCCTGGCACTCGCTCTGTAGACCAGGCTGGCCTCGAACTCAGAGATCCACCTGCCTCTGCCTCCCAAGTGCTGGGATTAAAGGCGTGCAACACCACCAATCAGCCTTCAGTTTGTTTTTTAACAAAGTTGCTAACTTAGGCCCTTTTATCTGGTTATACTTCTGACTTTATTTCTGGGCATGGAGTAGGCAAGGATCTCCTCATGTACTGATTTATTTTTAAAAGGTCTTGATTTATAACAACTTACCTATTACAAGGGCAGACGCAAAGGCCACAGCACTTGTTGAGTTCTGTTAAAGTCTTCTCTGCCTCTCTCATGTCTTTATTTATTTGGTCCATGCCTTCTTCTATGCGATTTAGTTGTTCTAAGAATAAGTTGTGGTGTGTTACATTCACAGACGTCCAGTGAAAATGCTATTGTTACCCAGCAGTAAGCTGCAACCTCCACTCTACCAATCACCTGCCAGTGAATATCAGTACCAGAAAAACAACACTGATCGAGAGGATCCTGGACCTCACTGTAGAATGACTTGTTCACCAGCGGCATGTGAGGGTTGGTCAGAAACTACTGCAACCGGACCAGATCCCAGCACTTCTAGCATTTAGTCACGACCTTAATGAAAGCCAGGCGGGATTAACTAAGGCCACCAGAATGTAGCCCTCTTTTAGAACTCGCTGACAATGATCAAAGAATGCCACGTTAATGTGCAATTGACAAACGCACATAGTGAGCCATGCTTGTCTGACTGACTTGTATCCAGCTGGGCGCTGTTGCCTCTCATCCCAATCCCAATGACCACGATACCAGAATTTAAATAAGACAAGGAAGAAGTATATTACTCTTATCTTATAAAGAGAAGGTTGAATTTTTTTTTTTTTTGGTTTTTTTCGAGACGGGGTTTCTCTATAGCTTTGGTGCCTATCCTGGAACTAGCTCTTGTAGACCAGGCTGGCCTCGAACTCCCAGAGGTCCGCCTGCCTCTGCCTCCCGAGTGCTGGGATTAAAGGCGTGCGCCACCACCGCCCGGCCGAAGGTTGAATTTTTTAAGAGGCTGATTTTATAGGGACTTTTGCAATGTAAGTCAAACTGAAGAGTTTCTTCAATGCTTCAACTCACCTCCTTGCTCATCCAGCATAGTAATAGTCTTGATTCCTGCATCCTGAGACTAAAAGGGGGAAAGGAAGATGAAAGTACAAGAAAACAGTTTAAAATAACAGCAAAGCCTGCAAATCCTGACAAATGACAAAGGTTCATATCGAAACCAAGTTCTCAGGACCTAGCATCACAAACAGAACTGGCTGTCTCGCAGCCACACATATTAACCCTAAAGCAATTAAGTCGGAAGCTTATTATAAATTTATCTTCCCTGCCCATATTCCAATATTTTCAAAGAAATAAAAAATAAATGGCTTATCAGTGCATCACTGGACAGTCTTCAGCAGCTTCTGGTTTCAAATAACATCAATTACAGCTAGTGCTAATACCCCTTCCATACATTTCTATATGTGAAGATTGAACATTTCTTACCTCTATGGCTAAGCCCAGGATTCTCCTTGTACTTTCCAAAGACTAGGAAGAAATACAAAGTTAGTTATAGCATTCCAAAAACTATAGGAAAACAAATTGATCACAGGCTATATTTATGATGCTACTTAATTGTTAAAACTTGCCAGCACATCCCCTTCTTTACAAGAAAGCAAAAAAGGAGATCACTCCACTTTCATCTTCTTCCTACTAGGCACTCCTTAAGAGACTGCAGATGGTGGAGTCAATGCAATTTCACACAGATAGGCAGAAATATGTTATTAATATAGATTTTAAGGAATCATTAAAGTTCATAATTCCTTCCAGGATTGCAAGTAAATGTTAAATACTAACCACCTTAGAGGGACCAAGAAAAAGCCAAAGTGGTCTCTAAAAAACCACTCTCACTTTTCTGTAGAAATGGAAACAGGGGCCTGCAAAATGTCTCATGAGGTAAAAGTGCTTATACCAAACATGGAATCCACGTGATGGAAGGAGAGAACAGAGAATGACCCTTGGAAGTTGACTTCTGACCTTCACATGCATCACACACACACACACACACACACACACACACACACACACACGGGGGAGGCGGGTGGAGGGAGGGGAGAGAGAAAGAGAGAGACTGGAAACTAAATTAATTAAAATGTAGTAAAAAATTCAAGTTAAAAAAAAATCATTCACCTCATCGGTAACTTGGTGAGCCCTTAGCTGAATTTCTTCTGACGACAGATTATCCATGATGGATCAAAACTATACTGGACAAAGAAACAGAATATGGATACTCTAGAAGAATAAGGATACAGAAAAGTTTGAGCAAAAATAATGTATTTATGGGATTTAGGTACTTACCAGGCAAGTAGGATAAAAGAGACGATTTCATTACCTGTTCACCTGTACCACAGAGTCAGGAACTCAAGCTAAGAGAAAAAAATAAATATTTATACAGACGTTTTATTTATGTCTGAATAAAGAAAGCTTGCCTGAAGATCAGAGGCCAAAACTAAGCCACTATAGGCCAGACAATGTAGTCACCCGCCTTTAATCCCAGCTCTAAAGGGAAATATAAGACAGGAGGAGACAGAGGCTCAGGGCTCAGTCTGCAGTCGCCCAGCCTTGGTAGAGGTAAGACTTTCTAGTGGCTTGGTTGTTTTGTTTTTCTGATCTTCAGCTTGAACCCCAGTATCTGTCTCTGGGTTTCTACCATTTGTGCTACATTTGGCGACCAATGTCTGGGGTACAAATTCACATAAAAGCTGCTGGCACAGGCTGGAGCTGCACCTGAGGCTTCCACTGGAGCTACACAGGGGGCTCCAGCCCCACCCAGCTAGGCTTTTCTTTTTTCCTCAACCTTTGACTTAGTTGGGGATTTTTCTGTTTTAGCCTTCAGGCAGCTCCTCAACACACGTGCTTTTTCTGAACAATGTCATGTGTGTTTTTCAAACAGTGTCGCTGCCCCCCCATGGGTTGCGGGATCTCCTTGACACCTTTCTCAAGCTGCTGCCAAACTAGGCAGCTGCCTTGAAATCCAGTCAGGCCTCTACTGTTCTATGCAGCAGCGATAAGCCTCACACCTTCATCAACACTGTCGGTAGATTTGGTAAGACAATTGGGAATTCTTAAAGGGAGGAATTAGTTAAAAGAAAGAGATTTTCCCCCACATTAAAAAATGGAAAAAAAAAACATTATAATGGAAAGATTTGGGTCTCTGTATGATAATAGGCTGGACAGTCTGAGAATGGAGCAATGACATGAGAGGACATCTAATTTAGATGTTTATGTAAACATTAGCTTTATTATTTTTGTCTTATTAAAAAGCTGGTTAATCTGAGATAAAGGCCTTTGAAAAACCTAATAAAACAGATCACAGAGATATTTAAACCCAGACAGAAGAATTTAATCGAGAGCAAATTTCAGCATTGCATTACAAGAACAGAGAGGAACAGCTTAAGGTTTTCAGAAAACCAACCTTAATATTTCCAGTAACCTTACAGGAATTGCCAAGTGGCGGAGACTCTGCTACAGTAAACTGGACTTCTGTGCCAATGTTACATTTAAGGAGATTCAAGGAAGCAATAGTCTCATATGGCATTACATTCACCTTTTGTGAAGCAACTGTTAAAATTGTGGTCAGTTTGTAATAGAATTATCCCTAACAACTGGATAGATTTGGTTAAAGGCGTTTTAGAGCCTTGTTTACAATTACAATGGAGTACCTGGTTCAGAGAAGAGGCTAAGATTATTGAACAATGGAATAAAGACAGAGAAATCTCCCAATATCAAATTCTTGGAGGAGATTACGCTACTATAGAAAGGCAGGTGATTTGTAGTGACCACACCCTGGATTTATGCCACACAAGAGCTCTGAATGCTTGGGATAGAATTGGAGAAATAGGAAAGAAAATTTGAGTCATTAACTAAAGTTTTTGTTTTTTTTGTTTTGTTTTTGGTTTTTTTTTTTTTTTTTTTTTTTTTGGTTTTTCGAGACAGGGTTTCTCTGTGGCTTTGGAGCCTGTCCTGGAACTAGCTCTTGTAGACCAGGCTGGTCTCGAACTCACAGAGATCCGCCTGCCTCTGCCTCCCGAGTGCTGGGATTAAAGGCGTGCGCCACCACCGCCCGGCTCATTAACTAAAGTTATGCCCCAAAAAAGTCTTTATGAAATTCTTACAAAAATTGGCTTCAGCAGTAAATAGAATGATACCCAATTCAGAAGCTAGACAAATAATAATTGAATCTCTGGCTTCTGAAACGTCAATTCTGTATGCGAAGGGATAGCTCGGCCATTAAAAGCAAGGTCAGCAGCTTTGGAGGAATGGATCTGAGATACAATTAATATTGCATCTCACGAACATGTTGATGCATGGATGGGTAATTTCTAGACGTCTGAGGACAAATCAAAATGTCAAATGTTATAATTGTGGCAAAGTCACAAAGACAGGATATTCCTAGAAACAATGTTTTTTCTAAGAATAATCCATTCAGAATGCCCCTCCCTTCTGGGTTATGTGGAAGGTATGGCAATGGCAGGCATCAGACTAAAGAATATAGGCCAAGGAGGAATATTCATGGCAAGCCTTTGCCATAGGGAAACTCCTTGAGGTCCCTATGCCAGAACTAGTTCAGTTGTTTCCTGCTGTTGTAGAGGAAACGCCTTCCCAGAGCAACTGAAGAACCTAAAGCCTGTTGTAGAGACCTTACTGTTCTAGGTAATAAAACAGCTATAGAAGAGGGAACTAAAAAATTCAGAAGAAACCATAAAGCGAGTATTTTGGCAAACTTCTATAAATGAACAAAGACCAAAATTAAAAATACGAATAAATGGAATCATTAAAGGTCTTGTAGACACAGATGTGGATATAACAATAATTTCATCAGAATCTTGGTATCCAAATTGGCATACATTCGCATCCTCTTCAGGATGCAAATGTTCAGTTTTAGGGATTGGAACTTTATCTCAGGTAAAGTAGAGCATGAGATGGGTCAAATGTATTGGACCAGAAAGACAGAGGAATGTTAAAACCATATGTGGCTAACATAACAATGAATTTATGGGGATGTTTTTTTGTTACAGCAATGGAATACTCGGATTAACATTCTCCTAATCTTAGAAACAAACTATAAATTAACATATGTTTCTTGAAAAAGTATTAGGTTTTATAAAGAACAGTCACCAACCATTCAGGTTGTGCAAGAACAGGGTACAAGAGCTGCTGATATTTTAAAGGCACCAACAGCTCTACCTTCAAAAAGGTTGACAGACAAACCTCTCTGAGTTGATCATTGGCCTTTAATAATACAAAAAATGCAGGCTTTAGAACAACTGGTACAAGAGCAACTAGATGCTCAGCATATTGAAGAATCAAACAGACCTTGAAATTCTCCTGTACTTGTCGTTAAAAAGAAATCTGTTTTGCTTTTATTTGTTGTTTTGTTTTGTTTTCTGATACCTGAGACTCTCTTCTAACACTTGTCAATGTAATATCTGTGCCGTGACATAATATGGGCTCAGAATCATACATACACAGGCACATATTATTTATACATGTACATACATACAAATATAATATAAAGCTAGAAAATGCAGTGAAGAAAACCTGTATCTGTCCCATGATGCTTCCACCTTACATGGGTTCCAGCAGCAAACTCGAGACAGTGTTTCTCTGTAGTTTTGGAGCCTATCTGTCCTGGCTCTTGTAGCTCTTGTAGACCAGGCTTGCCTCGAACTCACAGAGATCTGCCTGCCTCTGCCTCCCAAGTGCTGGGATTAAAGGCGTGTGCCACCAATGCCCAGCTTTGCTTTGCTTTTCTGATCTTCAGCTTGAACCCCAATCAATATCTGTCTCTGGGTTGTTATTATTCATGCTACAGATATTTAATGCTATTAGTACAAGAAATAAGCCTAAAACACAGGAGAAATATATTTTTTTTTAGTCAAGCAGTTCTATATCCCAAGCGGGCTTGATCTTGCTAACACAAGAGGATGACCTTGAACTTCTGATCCTTCAGTTCTGCACATCTTGTGTGCTGGGAAAACAGGGTTTCAGGAATGCTAGGACAAGCACTCTACTCACCAAGTTACATCTCAAGAATCAGGTGAAGTACTCTTTCCAATGGGAAAGTGGTTCTTGGCTTAAAAAGCAAGGCATCAATGAAACACACACTTTGAGAGAATATGAGAATGAGTTGCTAGGCGGGGGAGACCACTCAATGAGTAAAAGCACTTGCTCTGTAAGCACAAGCCCCTGCGGGCATTGAGATGGCTTCAGTAGGTCAAGGTGCTTGCCATGCAGCCTAGTGGCCCAAGTTTGCTGCTGGAACCCAGGTAGAGTGGAAGCATCATGGGACAGATACAGGTTTTCTTTACTGCATTTTCTAGCTTTATATTATATTTGTATGTATGTACATGTATAAAAAATAATATGTGCCTGTGTATGTATGATTCTGAGCACATATTATGTCACGGCACAGATATTGCATTGTACATGTGTTAGAAGAGAGTCTCAGGCATCAGTCTTCACCCTCCACTGTGTTTGAGACAAGGTCTTTTTTTGTTCTCTGCTGCTTATACCAGGCTGCTGGGTCCAGGGATTTTCCTGTCTCCACCTCCCATTTAGGCATGAGTGCTGGGATTATACTTGCGCTTCTGCACCTGGCTCTACAGGGCTTCTGGGCATCTGAACTCACGTTCTTTTGATTGCATGGTATTGTGATATCTTGTTTATGTTCTGACAAGCCTTGCCTGGAGATCATAGGGTGGGAGCTAGAAGTTGAGCAGCAGTGGCACGCGCCTTTAATCCCAGCACTCGGAAGGTGGAGACGACAGGAAGTGATAAGGTGGGGTGTAGACAGGTTCTCAGCCTCCTCTGCTTCTCTGACCTTCCAAGTTTTTACTCTGATATAACTCCTGGTTTTTACTGATTAAAAATTAGACTAGTTGGGTTGTGGTGGTGCACGCCTTTAATACCAGCACTCAGGAGGTAGAGTCAGGCGGATCTCTGTGAGTTCGAGGCTTATGAGAGCTAGTCTAGGACAGGCTCCAAAGCTACAGAGAAACCCTGCCTCGAAAAACAAAAACAAAAAAACACACAAAAAAAGATTAGACTAACGCTTCAGCATAGCAATCACTTGAACCCACTAAGACCACCTCATAGCTCTATATTACATTTCTGAAAACCAATTATGAAAGCTCTTTGTCTATAATACAGATAACACCTGGCTCACATTCCAGATTTGCTGTCTTGAAACATTTTCATTCTTGTTTTTGAGAAAATGTCTCATGTAACTCAAGATGGCTTCAAGCCTGCTATGTAACTGAGGAATACTTTGAACATTTTATCCTCCTGCCTCTACCTCCCGAGTGCTGGGATTAGAGGTGTGGATCACCATGTTTAGCCTTGGAAACTTCTGATTATATTCAGT